AGAGAGGGCTGGAGGGAGCTGACAGGGCAATGGCAGTTTTTCCTGGGGCTGCCGCTCCAGGGTCCAGTGGCAGGTATCTGCGGAATTTGATCTTTCTTTTGGGTCTCTGGGGTTCTGAGGTGTGATTTTCCCTCTGAAGACAGGCGGAGCCCCTGGTGGGTGCCTTCACCTCAGAAATGGGTCCCCCTGAGCTGGGAGCTGTGCTCTAGCCTCAGTGTGCTAGGACACCTCTCACCTGGCCCTGCCCATTCTGGCTTCTGAAGCCCACAGAGAGGGTCTGTAGAAATTGCTAGATACGAAAGGGCTACAAATAATTCACAGGAAGTGTATTTACATAACTCATGATTTTCAGCCATTACTCTACTTTTATTCAGCAGAGGAGATATTTTAAAATGCGAATACCCTGTGTCACCCTGCGGAGATTTGGATTTATTTGATGGGGCAGATGACAGGCATCTTTGGTTTTTTGTTTGCTTGTTTGATTGTAACAGGATCTTGTGCTGTGGCCCAGGTTGTAGCACAGTGGCATGATCATGGGCACTGCAACCTTGACCTCCCAGGCTCAAGGAATCCTCCCTTCTCAGCCTCCCAAGTGGGTGGGACTATGGGCATATACCACCATGCTATGCTAATATTTGTGTTTTGTAGAGACAGGGTCTCACTATTCCACCCAGGCTGTCCTTAAAGTCCTAACCTCAAGCTGTACTCCTGCCTCTGCCTCCCACAATGCTGAGTTTACAGACGTGAGCTACTGTGCCTGGCCCTGTATCTTTTAAGAGCTTCCCTAGTGCTTTGAAGAGGCACCCAAGCAAAGAAGGCTTTGCTTGCAGAAGGCTTGTGGAACCCTGTTGAGGCTGCATCTTCTTCACAGCCATCAGATTGTTCCCTGAGGTATCTGCTTAGCAGTGCACAGGCTATTTACATGGAGGGCTTTGGGGAGCTGTTGGGTTTGGGTTTGGCTGGGGCATGAGTGTTGGCTGTGGGATTGTCACAACCAGGTCCTATGGGACACCCAGTCTGGGATCCTTCTTCCCAGACCACCATCCTGCCTGTCATCGCTCCTATGGCAGGTCCACAGCTGCTTGCTGGAAGGGTGTTGGGAAGTATTGGTCCTCCAGCTGTCACGTCCTCCTGTTCGGCGGAATCCCAGCGATCCTCACTTGGAGTCTGGGTCTCAGAAGGGTGTGGCCCTGGGTTCTTGGCTGGCTGAGCTGGTGCTTTTGCAGCCTCTGGGGCTCTTGTATGTGAGGCCTGACCTGAGTTGCTTCAGGAAACTTTCACCCCTGAGGCTGCCTCCTGCTTAACAGCAGAATCTTTGTGTGGAGATCTGGCTGGCCTCCCTGGCCACCATTCCAAGCCTGTCCTCATATTTTTATCCCTCTCATTTTTTCATCTTCCTCACCAAAGATAGGTTGCTTTATCTTGACGGTTTTTTTTTTTTTTTCCCATGTGGATTCCTGAACACCATCCAGCCCCTTGTTCTCTCCCCAGCCAGCTCACACTCATTTGTCACAGCTCCTGGGACTCCCATTGACACATATAGAACAGCCCCCCACAGTGGACTGTGCTGTTCTGTTTGCACCCTTAAATTTATCTTGCTTACAGAATGCCACTTCTGCAAACTAATCAAGCAGAGGGAAGTGGCTTATGGATATGCACCCTTGCTTATCCTGTTTGAAAAGGTATCCAGCTCTGATTTCTTTTTTCGTTGAGAGGGAAGATCATTCTTGTCACCCAGGCTGGAGTTCAGTGGCACAATGTTGACTCACTGCTACCTCCACCTCCCGGTTCAAGTGATTCTCCTGCCTCAGCCTCCCAATTAACTTGGTTTACAGGTACGTACCACCACGTTCTCCTAAGCTTTTTTTAATTTTTTTAGTAGAGGTGAGGTTTCACCATGTTGGTCAGGCTGGTCTTGAACTTTTGACCTCAAGTGATCCACCTGCCTTGGCCTCCCAAAGTACTGGAATTACAGGCATGGGCCACCATGCCTGGCCCCAGTTCTGAATTCTTAAGAAACTCTCGAGAGGTTCTAGGTCAACACTGATAGACCTGGGTTCTGCAGTGCTGGGTGTGGTGGCTCACACCTGGACTGCTAGCACTTTGGGAGACCAAGGTCAGAGGCTCTCTTGAGCCCAGGAGTTTGAGACCAGTCTGCACAACGTAGAGCCCATCTCGACAAAATATTTAAGATTTGTTGTGGCCAGGCAAGGTGGCTGACACCTGTAACCCCAGCATTTTGGGAGGCCGAGGTGGGTGGATCACGAGGTCAGGAGTTCGAGTCCAACCTGACCAACATGGTGAAACCTCGTGTCTACTAAGAAAATACAAAGATTAGCTGCGCGTGGTGGTGTGCACCTGTAATCCCAGTTACTCAGGAGGCTGAAGCAGGAGAACTGCTTGAACCAAGGAGGCAGAGGTTGTAGTGAGTCAAGATCCTGTCACTGCACTCCAGTCTGGGTGGCAGAGCGAGACTCCATCTCAAAAAAATAAGAAAAATAAAAAATAAAATTAGTTGGTTATGGTTGTGCTTGCCTGTAGTCCCAGCTACTTGGGACGCTGAGGTGGGAAGATTGTTAGAGCCCAGTAGGTCAAGGCTGCCGTCTGCCATGATTGCACCACTGTGCTCCCACCTGGGGGACAGAGTGAGACCTTGTTTCAAAAAAGAACCGTTGCAATGATAGAAATGCCCCATATATGCACTGTGTGAAATGGTGGCCACTAGTTACATGTGGCTATTGAGGTCTTGATATATGACTAGAATAGCTGAATTTATTTAGTTTAATTAAAGATATATATTTTTTTGACACAGCTTTACTCTGTTGCCCAGGCTGGAGTGCAGTGGCATAATCACAGCTCATTGCTCAACCTCCTGGGCTCAAATGATCCTACCTCCTCAGCCCCCGAAGTGGCTGGAATCACAGGCATGCGTCACCACAGCTGGCTAATATTTAAACTTTTGGAGAGACTGGGTCTCACTGTATTGCCTAGGCTGGTCTTGAACTCCTGGGCTCAAGTGATCCTCCTGCCTTGACCTCCCAAAGTGCTGGGATTACAGACTTGAGCTGCCATGCCCATCTAGGTTTAATTTCATTATACATACATACATACATACATACATACATACATACATACATTTATTTACTTATGATAGGGTCTCGCTCTGTCACCCAGGCTGGAGTGCAGTGGCACAGTCTTGGCTCACTGCAACCTCTGCTTCCCAGGCTTCATCAATGCTCCTGTCTCAGACTCTCATGTACCTGGGATGATAGTGTGTGCCACACCACCGGGGTAATTTTTTTTTTTTTTTTTTTGTATTTCTTGTAGAGACAGTGGTCTCATTATGTTGTCCAGGCTGGTCACAAACTCCTGGGCTCAAGTCATCCTCCTGCCTCCACCTCCCAAAGTACTGGGATTACAGGTGTGAGCCACTAAGCCCATCCTGAATTACTGATTTTTACATAGTGTATAAACTTTTACATCCTACTTGTTCTAACTTTTGTTAAATGTGGCCTAAAGCTGCCTCATAAACAGCGAACTATATCCTAATTTAAGCATGTAAGCATTTCACTAAAGGAATATACAAGTAAAATTTTAAAGAAAGAAAATAAGAAAAAGTGCATAAACATTTGGGAAAAAGCCTTTAGGCCTTGTCAGTTTGTAGAATGTATTTATTTTCACTATGCTGGGGACTCCATTTCCAGTATTAAGGTCCATTCCCAGAAGGTGGATTTGGCGAGCATGAGAAAAGGGGTGGGGGAGTAATCGTACAAACAATTGTGTCCAGTCCAGGTTCCTAGGACCAGAGGGACCCCTCTGTATGGCAGAGGCGCCCGACAGCCGTATTTGATGTGTACCCTCAGAATGACTTTATGGTCGAAGAAGAAAATGTGTTCAGAGCCCCAAGCTAAGGAATCAGGAGTGGCAAGATCCTGGAAGGATGCCAACCTGTGAAATTCTGAGTCAAGAGGTCAAGCTGGGCACTTGGTTTCTCAGGTCGACCGCTTGGCCCTCTTCCAAGTTGCACTTTCCTTCTTTCCTTTACCTCCTGTTCTAAAGTTTTTTAATAACCATTTTTTAAAAATACTATCTCACTCTATAGCCCAGGCTGGAGTGCAGTGGCTCAATCTCATCTCTCTGCAACCTCCACCTCCCAGGTTCAAGAGATTCTCCTGCCTCAGCCTCCCAAGTAGCTGGGATTACAGGCACTCACCATCACGTCCAGCTAATTTTTGTATTTTTAGTAGAGACATGGTTTCACCATGTTGGCCAGGCTGGTCTCGAACTCCTGATCTCAGGTGATCCACTCGACTCACCCTCCCAAAGTACTGGGATTACAGGCATGAGCCACTACCCCCTTTCCTGGCCTGCTTTTTAAAAAAATTTTACTCCTGCTCTGCAACTTGCCTCTATCTGGTATCTACCTTATGATCCTCAGTCAAATTCTTTCTTCTGAGGAGGCAAGAATTGAGGTTGTTTCAGTTGTGTATGGATTCACCACCGGGAACTCGGATACCTTCCACCGGTAACAGGTCGAGGATGCTAGGTGAAAATGTTATGGACGCTGCATGCTTTTTACAAATGTAGTGGTTCTCATGTCCAGCCACAGCCACTGCACCTGTGTGAAAGTCCCCTTAATAAACCTATGTCTTTTTCACTGTCTCCAGATCTCTTCCTTTACCCTTCCACACGGTGCCTTCCCTACTGGAGTAAAGTGGGATTCTGCAGGGTACCCTCTCCCTGCAATTTTTTTTTTTTTTTTTTTTTTGAGATAGATTCTTGCTCTGTCACCCAGGTTGGACTGCAGTGGTGTGACCTCGGCTCACTGCAACCTTCGCCTCCTGGGTTCAAGTGATTCTTCAGCCTCAGCCTCCTGAATAGCTGGGATTACAGGCGCCTGCTATCATGCTTGGCTCCCTTTTGTTTTGTTTTGTTTTGTTTTGTTTTTAGTATTTTCAGTAGAGAGGGGGTTTCGACATGTTGGCCAGGCTGGTCTCGAACTCCTGGCCTCAAGTGATCCCCCCACCTCAGCGTCCCAAAGTGCTGGGATTACAGGCGTGAGCCACTGCACTTGGCCTCTCTCCCTGTATCTTCGTGTATCTTCAAAGCCAAGAAGGAGCTTCTGTCCCCTTGGTTAGAGTCAGGGTCCCAGAGGTCCAGGGTCAAGGCTACGGCCGCCTCCCAAGGACATGCATCCCTGCAAGAGGCTGCATCCAGCAGTCATGGAAGAGGCTCCGCTGGGGCCTGCTCGAATTCCTGCTGGGGAAAGCAAGTGGAGGTGCCCCTTGAAGAAACGGGGATGCCACCAATCTCAGGGGTTCTGTCCTGGTCTGTGGCCCTGGATCGTCCAGCCTCTGCTGGGATGGGGAAGCAGACGACGCCCTTCTTGGCTGGAGCTGAGGGTGGGGGTCCCGCTTCCCCAAAGGCCTAGCCCTGGATTTCAGCCACAGGTCCTACTGGGCAGCGTCTGGCGCCGCCCCGGCCCTCCAGGCCTGGCACTCGCCCTAAACAAACATGGCGCCGACGGCCTCACGCGCCTCACGCCGCAGGCGCGTCACGCGACAGGCCCGCAGGGCTCCGCGGGCGCCGCTCTCATCCGCTTAGACTGGCTGACAAGACAGGGAGCGGGAACTATGACCTGGATGGTGGCGGTGTCCGGGGCCGCTCTGGGGCCGCTGTTGTGTGGCTGCGCGCAGGCGCTGCTGGGCGGGATGGTGTACACCGGGGAGAGCGCGTCGCGGGAGCGCAAGGAGCTCCACCGCCTCTGAGGCTTCCCAGCCCACTTCTCCGTCAACCGACGCCTGGGCTTCCAGGAGCAGAGGTACCGGTGACCGTTAGGAGAGGCGCCCGGAAACCCGGCGTTGGGAATGGGTAAGCCCCGGCGCCCTGCACCCTCCTTCACCTGAGTGCCCCGGAACTGGGGGCCTGGAGGAGGTTAAAGGTCAACGGGCTTGGGGGCGCCTGGTTGGAGGATGGGGGAACTGGGAGGACTAGGGGGACCCGGGAGGGCCAGGGCGGAGGAGGCGTTAGGAGGAGGAAGAGCTCCTGTCCAGCCGCGTCCTGAGGCGAAGGCTGAGCCTGGGCAGTGTCCTTTCTAATACTGATTTTTAGTTTTTGAAATGTTTTTGAGACGGGGTTTGGTCCTGCCGCCCAGGTTGGAGCGGAATGGGGCAATCCTAACTTCTGAGCTCAAGCGATTGTCCCGCCCCAGCCTTGCAATTTAGCTGGGACCGCCATGCCTAATTAAAAAAAAAAAAGAAAGAAAAGAAACTTGGTCGGGCTTGGTGGCTCACGCCTGTAATCCCAGCACCTTGGGAGGCCCAGGCGGCGGCATCACCTGAGGCCAGGAGTTCAAGACCAGCCCGGCCAACGTGGTGAAACCCCGTCTCTACTAAAAATACAAAGTTAGCGGGGCGTGGTGATGAGCACCTGTAATCCCAGCTACTTGGGATGCAGAGGCAGGAGAATTGCTTGAACCAGGAAGGCGGAGGTTGCAGTGAGCCGAGATCAAGCCACTGCACTCCAGCCTGTGCGACAGACTGAGACTCTGTCTCAAAACAAAAACCAACTTTTTGGTTTTGTTTTGTTTTTTAAGATACAGGGTCTCAGTCCGTTATGCAGGCGGATCTCAAACTCCTGACCTCAAGCCATCCTCCCACGTTGACTTCCCAAAGTACTGATTATAGGCATGAGCCACCAGACACTCGTCAGGCCTGAGGGGCAGGCCCTGCACAGAGCTGGGCCCGGGGATCAGGAGGAGGGGACAGTTTAGACATTCTGATGTCGGCTCTGCTGAGGGGGGAAGGTAGCTTGGTTTTCAGGGTTCAGATAGAGGACAGACAGTGACATCAGGCCGAGGATGCCACCCCTGTTGCCCTCCTGACTTGGAAGTGGTCAGCAGAGAAGTGGAATCCGGTGAAGTCTGGGCCTCGTTTGCCTGTTCTACCTCCTCTTTTTCTTTGTCTTTTTTTTTTTTTGAGAGAGAGTCTCACTGTGTCACCCAGGCTGCAGTGCGATGGCATGATATCCAAGGGGATGGCTCACTGCAGCCTCCGCCTCCTGGGTACAAGCGATTCTCCTGCCTCAGCCTCCCTAGTAGCTGGGACTACAGGCGCCCGCCACCACTCCCAGTTAATTTTTGTATTTTTAGTAGAGATGGGGTTTCACCATATTGGCCAAGTTGGTCTCGAACTCCTGACCTTGTGATCCGCCTGCCTCTGCTTCCCAAAGTGCTGGGATTACAGGTATTAACCACCATACCCAGCCTACATCCTCTGTTTCTGTTTTTGTGGTATTCAGTACAAGAGAAAGAGAGGAGAGGGCTGGCTGCCAGCATGGGCCTCACTCACAGTGTCCTAAGCAGAGCTGCCCCTCCCCCTAACCAGCCTTTCTTCCTCTGACAGGCAGTGGGTCATTTGCATCTTAGTCACAGGTCTGAACTTTCTTGCCTTTGGCTGGGATGTGCCCCTGGGTTCACCCCTGTCTCGGGAGATACTGGGTGCCATCCGCCCCAATGAGGATCTCCTGACCCCAGTGTCCCAGGTGTACAACCTGCCCTGGCAGTGGACCTGTCATCAGCAAGCTATCTGTCTTTTCCGCCAGGAGTCCCCGCCATGTGTCAGGGCTTGTTCTAGGTCTGGGGGCACAGCTGTGCAGCACACTGGTCCCGGATCCCTTTGGGGGGTTAGGAGCTGAGCCCCGCCCTTCTCTTTGCAGTCGGGCCCCACCTTGGACATACCGGTTCTCTGCATCTTCAATGATATCAGCCAGGACTGGGCATTTTGTCAGCTGGGTGTGGCATGAACGGGAGGTGACCCTGCTGAAGCAATGGATCCAGGACCTGCACACAAGAGTGATGCTGAGGATTGGCAGTGCCCACTTCTATGCCATTGTGGTCAGTATGGCCAGGAGTAGGCAGGGCGGGTGGGTGGGCACAGCTGCTGAACAGCACGGGACCGTCAGATTCCACCCACAGCCTGTCTCCTGGGTTGGGACGGTGGGGGGCCTTACCCTGCCCTGGGGGCTGTGCCCTGTGTAGGGGGATAGGTGGCCTGATCTACCCCACTGGGATGTCATTCTTCCTGTCTGACTGGCAGGCTCCTGAGCCCCATGCTGCGGGTTATGTGAGGGAGTGCCCGATAGCAGAGCCCCTCCTCATGTCCCGACCTGCCACCCCCTTCCCATATCTCCTATGTCTGCAGTGGGTGAATGGTGTCCACACGCTAGAGCATGAAAGGGGCTACCTCCCCTTCGAGGCTGACGTCAGCAGCCTGTTCCACGTGGGTCCCCTGCCCTCCCGCCTCTGAGTCACTGTCGCCATCAAGAGCACGCTCACCCCCCCCCACCCTGCCACCAGGGACCATCCGTATGTGACCGACATGTCCAAGTGGGTACCATCTTGCCTCCACTGCACACACCCACCTTCCCGCCCCACCCTGTGGTCTTCCTGCCAGGGACAGGGTGGCCTTCGCAGAGAGGAGGCCCTGATCTGGGGAGGCATGTGAGCTGAGGGCAAAAGACCCGTGGCAAGGGCCCAGCAAACCACAGTCCTCCCGCCCTCGGTATCCCTAGGGTTACTTTATTCAGAACACAGACTTTGACTTCTTCAACTACACAGGACTGCAGCGGTCTGTGCTTCTGTACACGACACCAACTACCTGCATCGATGACATCACCATCACCACCGGCGTGAAGTGAGACAGTGGTGACGGCTTCTGGTAGGATCCTCCCTCAGCGGGGCCCAGGGTGGCTCTGTTTGTTCCCTATTTGGAAAACTCTCCCAGGAAAAAGGTTCTCCCAGCATCTCTAAACCTTCACAGGTTCCCATCCACCTACGAAGCTAAAATCCAGGCTGTCTGAGCGGACACGGGCTCCTGAGATGACTCATGTGGTTGATCTCGCTTGGAGAAGAGGGGTCTGGCCTAATGTCACATAGCTCAGGCTGGCACTCCTGTCCCTTTCCCACGGTGCTGCTCTCACTCTAGCTCCCCTTGCTACACATCGTGGTCAAGGAACAGGCAGCTTTGAAGGGCTGGGTGTGGTGGGTGACGCCTGTCATCCCAGCTCTTTGTAGGGAGGACTTGGTAGGAGGACCACTTCAGGCCAAGAGTTCAAGACCAGCCTGGGCAACATAGTGAGACCATCACCCCAAAAAATTAAAAAATTCATCAGGCATGGTGATGCGTGCTGGTAGTCCCAGCTACTGAGGCAGGAGAATCAGTTGAGCATGGGAGGTCAAGGGTGCAGTGAGCTGTGACCGCGTCACTGCACTCTGGTCTGGGCAACAGAGGGAGACCCTGGCTCTTGTATTTGTTTTTGAGCTGGAATCTCATTCTGTAGGATCCCAGACTGGAGGGCACTGGTGCACTCTTGGGTTCACTGCAACGTCTGCCTCCCAAGTTCAAGTGATTCTCTCCCTCAGCCTCCCGAGTAGCAGGGATTACAGGCACCTTCCACCGTGTCCAGCTAATTTTTGTGGGTTTTTTTTTAGTAGAGCAAGGGTTTCACCATGTAGGCCTGGTTGGTCTTGAACTCTTGACCTCAGATGACTCACCTGCCTCGGCCTCCCAAAGTGCAAGGATTACACGTGTGAGCTACCGTGCCTGACTGGGATACCCTGTTTTTAGGGGAAAAAAAAAATTTTATTTATTTATTTATTTATTTATTTATTTATTTATTTTTAATATATCTTTTTCCTTTTGTGAGATGAGGCCTTAGACTGTCGCCCAGGCTGGACGGCAGTGGTGCAATGATTGACAACTGTTTTGAGGCCACAGTTGTAAGTTTCAAAGAATTTAGGCTAGGTGTGGTGGCTAATTCCTGTCATCCCAGCACTTTGGGAGGCCACGGTGGATGGATTGCTTGAGTTCAAAGGTTTGAGACCAGCCTGGGCAACATTGTGAGACCCTGTTTCAAAAAGAAGAAATAATTAAAAGAAATAAAGAATTTAAATAAGAATCACACAGCAAAGGTGATGCAGCATAGAGCAATTTATTGTAAAGGGAAAATTATTTTGCACGTGAAGTGCAGAATAGCCTGGGCGCAGTTGCTCACACCTGTAATCCCAGCACTTTGGGAGGGTGAGGTGGGTGGATGACCTGAGGCCAGGAGTTCTAGACCAGCCTGGCCAACGTGGTGAAGCCCCATCTCAAACTCTGTCTCCAAAAAAAAAGACAGTGAGTTGTGGCACACACCTGTAATCCCAGCTACTTGGGAGACTGAGGTAGGAGAATCGTTTGAACCCGGGAGGCGGAGGTTGCAGGGAGCCAAGATAGCCCCACTGCACTGCTGGGCATGGTGGCAGGTGCCTGTAATCCCAGCAACTGGGGAGGCTGAGGCAGGAGAATAGCTTGAACTCAGTGGTCAGAGGTTGCAGTGAGCCGAGATGGAGTCACTGCACTCCAGCAATCCTGAGGAGACTTAAGAACTAAACATAGTGTGGTCTCCTGGATGACATCTTGGGACAGGAAAAGGACATTATGGGAAATAGTAAAGAAATCTGAATCAAGATGAGCCCTAGTTAATCATAATATATCAGTATTGGTTTATTGGGACCAGGGATAGTGGCTCACATCCTAGCACTTTGGGAGGCTAAGATGGGAAGATCTTGAGGTCAGGAGTGTGAGACTAGCCTGGGCAACATAGCGAGACTACATCTCTCTATTTTTTTTTTTTTGTTTTAGTTAGTCAGCATGATGGTATGCACTTACAGTCCCAGCTGCTAGGGAGGCTGAGGAGGGAGAATTGCTTGAGCCCAGGAGTTTGACGCTGCAGTGAGGTGTGACTGTCCCACTGTGCTGAAGCCTGGTCCAATTTTTCATTTAAAAAAATTTTCTTTTTTTTGAGGTGGGGCTTTGCTCTTGTTGCCCAGGCTGGAGTGCAATGGCAAGATCTCGGCTCACTGCAAACTCCGCCTCCTGGTTTCAAGTGATTCTTCTGCATCAGCCTCCGGAGTAGCTGGGATTACAAGCATGCCCCACCACATCCGGCTAATTTTGTATTTTTAGTAGAGACAGGGTTTCTCCATGTTGGTCAGGCTGTTCTTGAACTCCCGACCTCAGGTAATCTGTCTGCCTCGGCCTCCCACGGTGTTGTGATTATAGGCATGAGCCACCCAGCCCGGCCTTAAATTTTTTTTTTTTTTAACTAAAACAAGGTCTCACTGTGTATCCCAGGCTAGTCTTGAACTCCAAGACTCAAGTAATCCTCCCACTTTGGCTTCCCAAAGTGCTGGGATCATAGGTGTGAGGTACCATGCGCAGCTAGGTTTTTTAACTGTAGCAATTTACCATACTAATTTAAGATATTCATAAGAAGGAAGCCAGGTACAAGGGTATGTGTGAACTTTGTGCTGTCTTGGCAGTTTGTCTGTAATTCTAAAACTGTTTTAAAATTAAAAGTTTACTCAACTTGCCAATGTACTGCTAAAGAAAAAAATAATAAAAACATTAAAAGTGTTTTATTTTGAAAATATTTCTTATTTATTTTTTTGAGACAGGGCCTCACTCTGTCACCCAGGCTGGAGTGCAGCAGTGCAGTGTTGGCTCACTGCAAGCTCTGCCTCCCAGGTTCAAGCAATTCTTCCACCTCAGCCTTCCAAGTAACTGGGATTACAGGCATGTGTCACCACACCCAGCTGATTTTGTATTTTTAGTAGAGACCGGGTTTCACCATGTTGGCCAGGCTGATCTTGAACTCCTGGCTTCAAGTAGTTCACCCACCTTGGCCTCCCAAAGTGCTGGGACTATGGTCGTGAGCCACTGTGGCCGGACTGTTTTTTAAATACTTTTTAGAACCAAAGTCTTGTTATGCTGCTCAGGCTAGATTCTAACTCCTGTGCTCAAGCAATTCTTCTGCCTCAACCTCCTGAGCAGCTGAGACTACAGCTTGTGCCACCACAGCCAGCCAAAAAGTTTATGTTTCTTTTTTTAAAAAAGAGAGGGCTTAGGACTTCCTGGAGCACAGACTTCAAATAGCAGTTGAGTCCACCATTGTGCTCCCTTCCCTCTGGATCTTTCTTCCTGAGTGCCTGTGAAAAACAAGCTTTGGCCCTGCCTGTGCGGCTCCAGCCCACGGGTGATTGTCGTTTCCTGACGGCCAGTCCTGTGGACTCTGGGCTTGCTTAGCCAACCCCACAAATGCAGAAGCCAAGGTTTTACCAATCTATCTATCTATCTAGATGTATGTCTGTATATAATTTTTTTGTTTGTTTGTTAGAGACGGAGTCTAGTTTTGTCACCCAGGCTGGAGTGCAGTGGCGCGATCTCGGTTCACTGCAATCTCCACCTCCCGGGTTCAAGCAATTCTTCTGCCTCAGCCTCCCGATTTGTTGGAACTGCAGGCATGCACCACCACACCTGGCTAATTTTTGTGTTTTTATGAGAGACAGATTTTCATCGTGTTGGCCAGGCTGGTCTCAAACTCCTGACCTCAGGTGATCTGCCTGCCTCGGCCTTCCAAAGTGGTGGGATTACAGGCGTGAGCCACTGTGCCCGGCTAGAAGCCATCCGTTTCTATATCTATGCAGATGTGTGTCGCTATATGTTTGTGTATATCTGAATCTGTGTATCTTTCCTACTGGTTCTGCTTCTCTGGTTTGAACCCTAAGACAACTTTTTTTTTTTGAGCTGGCGTCTTGCTCTGTCACCCAGGCTGGAGTGCAGCGGTTTGATCTCTGTTCATTGCAACCTCCGCCTCCTGGGCACAACTAGTATTTTATAATCTGTTAGGAATTCAAATGTTTTTCAAAAGATCAAACTATATATTTAAATATATTTCAAATACAAACTTTAAAAATCATACTATGAAGCGTTAAGTAAGATTCTACATTATTAGGCCAGGGACGGTGGTTTAGGTCTCTAATCCCAGCACTTGGGGAAGCCAAGGGGGGCAGATTGCTTGAGCTCAGGAATTTGACACCCCCCTGGGCAACATAGCAAGACCCTGTCTCCACAAAAATAGAAAAATGAGCTGGGCATGGCGGTGCGTGCCTGTGGTCCCAGCTGTTTGGGAGGCTGAGGTGGGAGGATCACTTGAGCACAGGAATTTGAGGCTGCAGGGAAGCATGACTGAGCCATTGCACTCCATCCTGGGTGACTGAGTGAGACCCCGTCCCACCTCCCAAAAAGGTTAACATCATTATATAATTGTACTCTAAATTTTTAGAAAAATTAAAATTAAGTATTATTTAAAAATAGGCAAGGTACAGTGGCTCATACCTATAATCCCAGCACACTGGGAGGGCAAAGCAGGTGGATCACCTGAGGTCAGGAGTTCGATACCAGCCTGGCCAACATGGTGGAACCCCATTTCTACTAAAATTGCAAAAGTTTGCCCGGTGTGGTGGCACGTGCCTGTAATCCCAGCTACTCAGAAGGCTGAGACAGGAGAATCACTTGAACCCAGGAGGTGAACGTTGCAGTGAGCTGAGATGGCGCCACTGCACTCCAGGCAGGGTGAAGGAGCGAGACTGTGTCTCAAAAATAAATTAATAGATAAATAGCTAAACAGTTGGTTCAAATGGACATAAAGATGGAAATAACAGACCCTGGGAGCTCCACAGGTGGGGAGGGAAGGAGGGGAAAGGGTTGAAAAACTGCTCATTGGGTACTATGGTCAGTGTTTGGGTGATGGGTTCACTAGAAGCCCAAACCTTAGCACTTTGCAGTGTACTCATGGAACACACCTGCACATGTGCCCCATGAATCTAAAGTTTAATACAATAAAAATAATAAACTTAGTGCAAAAGACAATTGTAGACATTTAATCATAAAACACTTAAGATAAAATAGCACTGATTTTTTTTTTTCTTTTTTTTCAGGCCGTCTCATTCTGTCACCCAGGCTGGAGTGCAGTGGTGAGATCTCAGTTCACTGCAACCGCCATCTCCTGAACTCAAGCAATTCTCGTGCCTCAGCCTCTCCAGTAACTGGGATTACAGGCGCACACCGTCCACCTCCTGGGTTCAAGTGATTGTCTTGCCTCAGCCTCCTGAGTAGCTGGAATTGGAGGCACCCGCCCCCGTGCCTGGCCAATTTTTTTAAGGTTAGTGGAGACGGGGTTTCATGATGTTGGCCAGGCTGGTCTTGAACTCCTGACCTCAGGTGATCCACCAGCCTCGGCCTTCCAAAGTGCTGGGATTACAAGCATTAGTCACCGTGCCTGGCCAAATATTTTTCTTAAAAGTCCTTCATGTTTAAATAATCCCATTTCATTTTGATGACTTTGAGATTATCTGACAGAATTCTTGGGGAAAAGGTTAGGACTGTAATCTTTTTATTGACAGCAAGCAGTGTGTTTTGCTCGAAAAAAATCACTGCTTTCTTTTGATCTTTCGGTTTCATCGTGTATGAATGGGGAATTTTTTTTTTTTTTTGAGACAGGGTCTCACTCTGTTGCCCAGGCTGGAGTACAGTGGCATGATCGTGGCTCACTGCAACCTCCACCTCCTGGGTTGAAGTGATCCTCGTGGCTCAGCCTCCTGAGTAGCTGGGATTACAGGTGCACACCAACACGCCCAGCAAATGTTTGTATTTTTAGTAGAGATGGGGTTTCAGTATGTTTGCTGGGCTGGTCTCGAACTCCTGACCTCAAGTGATCCGCCTGTCTTGGCCTCCCAAAGTGCTGGGATTACAGGTGTGGGCCATTGCGCCTGACCTAGATGGAGATTTTAATCGATTCCCCAAGTCAGTTTCAATTCTGTCATGTTCATTATCTGCTTCTTCAAAAAGTCTTTGAACCAGAGCTAAGAATGATATTATTGTATCACTAGCTGGACGCAGTGGCTCACGTATGTAATCCCAGCACTCTGCGAGGCCAAGGTGGGTGGATCACCTGTCAGGAGTTTGAAACCAGCCTGGGCAACATGGCAAAAACCCGTCTCTAGTAAAAATACAAAAATTAGCCAGGCACGGTGGCAGGTGCCTGTCATCCCAGCCACTTGGAAGCTGAGGCACGATAATAGCTTGAACCAGGGAGACAGAGGTTGCAATAGTTGAGGCTGTGCCACTGCACTCCTGCCTGGGTGACAGAGGGAAACTCCACTCCACCTCAAAAAAAAAAAAAAATTATTATTGCATCAGATGCTCTGTTTTGTTGGTGTTATTTTCTGACTCTCGAAGATAGTATAGAAGTGTGAAATATGGAAAAATTATTATTATTTTTTGAGACAGAGTCCCTCGCTCTGTCACCCAGGCTGGAGTGCAGTGGTGAGATCTTGGCTCACTGCAACCTTCGCCTCCTGAGTTCAAGTGATTCTCCCACTTCATCCTCCCGAGTAACTAGGATTACAGGCTTGTGCCACCACAGCCGGGTAATTTTTGTATTTTTTGTAGAGACGGGGTTTTGCCATGTTGGCGCGGCTGGTCTTGAACTTCAAACCTCAAATGATTCACCCGCCTTGGTCTCCCAAAGTGCTGGGATTACAGGTGTGAGCCACTGCACTCAGACTGGAAAAATTATTTTTAAATTAATTAAGTGTATCCTTGTTCAATTTGGAATTTTAGTGAATCAAAAAACTCCATGAATAGTCTCAATACAAAATAATTCAGATTTCAGATTCAGGCCAAAACAATAGTATTACACCAACAAACATACCAGTATTTCCATATATAAAGCGAGCACAACAGGCTGCATGCGGTGGCTTGCCTGTAATCCCAAGACTTTGGGAGGCAGTGGTGGACGAGTGACTTGAGGCCAGGGGTTTGACACCAGCCTAGCCACCATGCTGATACCCTGTGTCTACTAAAAATAGAAAAATTAGATGGGCGCGTTGGCAGGTGCTTGTAATCCCAGCTACTCAGGAAGCTGAAATTTGAGAATCACTTGAATCCAAGAGGTGGAGGTTGCAGTGAGGTGCGAGCTGCGATGGCACCACTGCACTCCAGCCTGCAAGAGTGAGACTCTGTCTCAAAAATTAAAAAGAGCACAGTGCATAAGGATATTGGAAAATCAGAATGCTGGAGACCAAGGTAGAAGGAGTAGGGTAGAACATAAAGAGAATACATTCTCAACGAATGCTTCTTGGAATAACTCTGTGATATTTTAGACCATTACCGCATCTGCCCTAAAACAGACCTAAAGCTAATGAGTGAGTTTCCTTGCTCTATTGGTGAACTAATTAATGTTTTTTTCCTGAGAGCTACTGTGTGGCCAAATGGGCATTCCTGAGTGAAGACGCGCTACGGGCAGCATTCTGCTAGGGTTTTGTTCTTTCTTTCCTTTGTTTTCTTTTGTTTTGTTTATTTGGAGACGGAGTCTCACTTTGTCGCCCAAGCTGCAGTGCAGTGCAAGCTCCTCCTCACAGGTTCATGCCATTCTCCTACCTCAGCCTCCCGAGTAGCTGGGACTACAGGCACCTTCCACCATGCCCAGCTAATTTTTTTGTATTTTCAGTAGAGACAGGGTTTCACCATGTTAGCCAGGATGGTCTTGCCCTCCTGACCTCGTGATCCGCCCACCTCAGCCACTATAGCCTTGAACTCCTGGGCTCAAATAATCATCCTGACTCAGCCTCCTGGATAGCTGGGGCTACAGGTGTGTATCATCATGCTCAGCTATTTGTGTTTTTTTTGACTTTTTCTGCAGAAACAAGCTCCTGCCATGTTGCCTGGACTGGTCTCCAATTCCCGACCTCAAGTAGTCCTCCCACCTCAGCCTCGCAGTGTTGGCATTACAGGCATAAGCCACTGTGCCAAGCCTTTTATCACATCTTGAAGTCAGTAAGAAGTAGATCATCTCGTCTGGCTGGGCACGGTGGCTCATGCCTGTAATCCCAGCACTTTGGGAGGCAGAGGCGGGCAGATCACCAGGTCAGGTATCGAGACCATCCTGGCTAACGCGGTGAAACCCTGTCTCTACTAAAAACACAAAAAATTAGCGAGGGTGGTGGTGGGTGCCTGTTGTCCCAGCTACTTGAGAGGTGGAGGCAGGAGAATGGCGTGAGACCAGAAGGCAGAGCTTGCAGTGAGCCAAGACCACACCAAGGAACTCCAGCCTGGGCAACAGAGCGAGGAGACTCTGTCTCAAAAAAAAAAAAAAAAAAAAAGAAGTAGATTATCTCATAGACCAGAGATTTCAGAACAATCCAGTATTTTGACTACTCTTGGCCCTTTGCATTTTTTTTTTTCTTTGAGACAGAGTTTTGCTCTTTTTGCCCAGGCTGGAGTACAATGGTGCAATCTCAGCTCACTGTAACCTCTGCCTCCCAGGTTCACATGTTTCTCCTGTCTCAGCCTCCCAAGTAGCTGGGATTACAGGCATGTGCCACTACACTTGGCTAACTTTTTTGTGTTTTTATAGTAGAGACGGGGTTTGCCATGTTGGCCAGGCTGATCTCGAACTCTTGACCTCAGGTGATTCACCCGCCTCTGCTTCCCAAAATTTTGGGATTACCGGCATAAGCCACCACAACCAGCCTGCATTTTCATATAAATTTAGAATTAGCCAGGCGTGGTGGCAGACATCTGTAATCCTAGCACTTGGAGAGACTGAGGTGGGAGGATTGCTTGAGCCCAGGAGTTTGAGGCTTCAGTGAGCTGTAATTGCACCACTATACTCCAGCTTAGACAACAGAGCAAGACGCTTTCTAAAAACAAAATTAGAATCAGCTCGTCACTATTTATTAAGAAATATGTTGAGATTCATCCTAATGATGACTGTTTGTTTAAAAAAAAAAAAAGCGCTGGACGCAGTGGCTCACATCTGTAATCCCAGCACTTTGGGAGGCTGAGGCAGGCCAATCACAAAGTCAGGAACTCGAGACCATTCTGGCTAAAACCGTGAAGCCCCGTCTCTACCAAAAATACAAAAGAAAAAAAAAAAAAGCCGGGCGTCGTGGTGGGCACCTGTAGTCCCAGCTACTTGGGAGGCTGAGGCAGGAGAGTGGCGTGAATGCGGGAGGCAGAGCTTGCAGTGAGCCGAGATTGCACCACTGCACTCCAGCCTGGGTGACAGAGTGAGACTCTGTCTCTAAAGAAATAAATAAATAAGAAAAGAAAGAAATCTGTTTAGATTTTGATAAGAATTACATGTAATCTACAAATTACTTTGAGAACTGATCTTTATGATATTGAGTATTCCAATCCATGAACATGGTATATTTCTCCAGACTCACACAAATATTAATGAATGCAAAAGAAAACATCAGGATGGTAGGGTTGTTGATGCAGAGAACACCCATGGGAATGTCGTTCTGGCACTACTTGCCTTCTAAGGGCTGCCTCTGCTCCTTACTTCCCTTTTCTAGGTTGCCCGATTATTATGTGAACTTATCCTATGCCCAGTGCTGATTGATTCAAGGGAACGCACCTGCCCAGGCCAGTCCAATAAATGTCCTTACACAGATTTTTCAAACGGAGACTGAAAGAGAGTTGAACTAGGCTCTCTGATTGCAAAATATAAAATTTAGGAGCTCCCGGTAACCGTGCTTCAGATTATGTGAACTAGAGGGTTGGAGGAATTGCTGAGAAATAAGGACAAATCTGAAAGAAACGGAGATATGACAAGAGAAGAGAGTGGTGTTTGAGTCTCTGGCTCCACAGAGTTCTTAAGGCCAATGAGTTCTGAGAGATAGTCAGAACGATCTTGTTTATGAATTCCATGAGACAGTCCATAAATCTGTCTTTAGGCTTAAGCTAGTTTGAGTGGGGTTTCTGTCACTTGGAACAAGAGTCCTGACTACTGCAGTGGAGTGGAGTTAAAAGGTATAACCTCAATAAGTGAGCTAGCTCACTTTAAAAGGCTTCCAGTTTGAATTACACTCCATTCCCTCTGGTGCCCCTAGAAAGAGCCTTCTCTAACACAGGCCAGGAACTAGCAGACATGCTTTTGTTTTTTTTTCTTTGCAGAAATGTTACTGCCTTGATTTGGGACAGATTATCAGAGTTGGGCACCGTTATCCTCTCTTTCATACAGGATTTATCACTTGTAAGTATTTGTCTTATGTTTGGATGCTACATTTTGGTTAGAATTTAATGATCATATCTCTCATCAAGATTACCCACATGATCACTCTAAGGCTGTTGTAAGCCTAACTGACAAGTACTCCATATGTCAAGATGTCAAGTGCAACGCAAAATAAGATGTAAGCACCAAATGGGACTGAGAGAAATGCTAAAAATCTTCACCCTTACTGCCTTTCTTGATAATAACCGTGCATCCTGTGAGGGAAATAGTGTTATAGTGATATAAAGTAAGGTTCTGAAATTGGAAGAGATTGGGGGCCAGGTGTGGTGGTTCACGCCTATAATCTCAGCATTTTGGGAGGCCAAGGTGGGTGGATTGCTTGTACGCAGGAGTTCCAGATGAGCTGGGCAACATTGTGGGACCCCATCTCTAAAAAAAAAAAAAAAAAAAAAAAAAAATTGGTATAGTGGCTCACGCTTATAATCCCAGCTACTCAGAAGGCTGAGATGGGAGGATCACTTGAGGAGGTCAAGGCTGCAGTGAGCTGTGATCATGCCACTGTACTCCAGCCTGGGTGACAGAGTGAGAACCTGTCTCAAAAAAAAAAAAAGAAAAACCTTGGAGGGAAGAATTTTTGAAGATACTGTCATGCAGGGAAAGGGTGTGCCGTGTATATGCAGAGGGTCCTCAGCTTTCCAAACGTAACTCTGGAACAGGCTACCTTTCATACATTTTATATACTGTATACTGACAGACCCAACACAGTTTTCAAAGGACATATTTGAGCCTTTTTTTAAAAAAGTTTTTTTAAGACAGAGTCCTGCTCTGTTGCCCAGGCTGGACTGCAGTGGCACAATCTTGGCTCACTGAAACCTCCACCTCCTGGGTTCAAGCGATTCTCCTGCTTCAGTCTCCCAAGTAGCTGGGACTGCAGGTGTGTGCCACCATGCCCAGCTATTTTTTTGTATTTTTAGTAGAGGTGGAGTTTCACTGTGTTAGTCAGGATGGTCTCAATCCCCTGGCCTGGTGATTCCCACCACCGCCTCGGCCTCCCACAGTGCTGGGATTACAGACGTGAGCCTCTGCGCCTGGCTGTACTACTATGAATAGGTCTTAATAGGTTTTAATTGTTAATTATTTTAAAATTGATTTCAAAAATCTTCTACAACATGGATGAAACTTGAAGATATTATACTTAGTGAAATAGGCCAGCCACAAACAAATGTCATTTGAATCCACTTTTATGAGGTACCTAGAATTGGCAAATTCACATAGACAGAAAGTAGATTTGAGGTTATCAGGGCGAGGGGGAAGGAAGAATGGGGGACTGTAGTTAATGGGTTTAGAGTTTCTGTTTGGGAAGATGAAAGAGTTCTGGAGATGGATGGTGGTGAAGGTTGCCCAATAGTGTGAATGTAGTTAGTGGCACCGAGCTGTACGTTTAAAACTAAAGTGGAAATATTGATGCTATGTATGTTTGAGTGCAATTATAAAAATGGATCCAGGTGTGGTGGCTCACACCTGTAATCCCATCACTTTGGGAGGCCGAGGAGGGCGGATCACCTGAGGTTGGAATTTCAAAACCAGCCTGGCCAACGTGGAGAAACCCTATCTCTACTAAAAATACAAAAAATTAGCTGGGCGTGGTGGTGCATGCCTGTAATCCCAACTACTTGGGAGGCTCAAAAAACCCAAATCAAAAACAAAAAGAAAAATTAGCCAGGCGTGGTGATGCATGCCTGTAATCCCAACTGCTTGGGAGGCTCAAAAAACCAAAATCAAAAACAAAAAGAAAAATTAGCCAGGCGTGGTGGCACGTGCCTGTAGTCCCAGCAACTTGGAGGCTGAAGTAGGAGAATCACTTGAACCTGGGAGGCGGAGGTTGCAGTGAGCCAAGATGCCGCCACTGCACTCCAGCCTGGGTGACTGAGCGAGTCTCCATCTCAAAAAAACAAAGTTTTTCTTGAAAATAAAAAATAAAGGTCAGTCACAGTGGCTTAGGCCTGTAATCCTAGCACTTTGGGAGGCGGAGGTGGGTGAATCATGAGCTCAGGAGTTTGAAACCGTAATGGCCAACATGGTGAAACCCTATCTCTACTAAAAATACAAAAATTAGCTGAGCTTGGTGGTGTGCGCCTGTAGTCCTAGCTAGTTGGAGGCTGAAGCAGGACTCTCCGTTGAACCTGGGAGGCGGAGGTTGCAGTGAGCCGAGGTCACATCAGTGTGCTCCAACATGGAGACAGAGCAAGACTCTGTCTCAAAAAAGAAAAAAGAAAATCTCGCTGGGCATGGTGTCTCATGCCTATAATCCCAGCACTTTGGGAGTCCCAGGAGCTCGAGACCAGCCTGGGCAACATGGTGAGACCCCATTTCTACAAAACAGTATTACAAGAAAAATAGCTGGGCGTGGTAACACATGCCTGTGGTCCCAGCTACTCAGGAGGCTGAGGTGTGAGGATCACTTGAGCCCAGGAGATCAAGACTGCAGTGAGCTGTGATGGTGCCACTTCACTCCAGTTTGGGTGTCAGAGTGAGATCCTGTCTCAACAAATAAATAAACAACTAAACAAAGAAAAATCTTATGTTCACATCACAAAACCAATCACCAAGTACTAGACCAGCTTCTAAGGTAGAAACACTCCAGTCTGAACCCCTGGCAGGGAGCTTGCACCCAGTAAGCCCCAGCTCAACACCACATCCTTGTACCAAAGAGAGTTTGAGATTAAAATCCAGAAAAGCAAAGTTCACTCTTCTTATGGTTTTGGAGTCTCAGAAGGTGGTTTTATTGTTTCTTAATTATATTGAGCCTTCTTTTAGCGTTAAAGGGAATGTCACCATGTACGGTGGCTTATGCCTGTAATCCCAGCACCTTGGGAGGCCAAGGTGGGCAGATCACCTGAGGTCAGGAGTTCGAGACCAGCCTGGCCAACATGGTGAAACCCCATCTCTACTGAAAATACAAAATTAGCAGGCTGTGGTGGCACATGCCTGTAATCCCAGCTACTCTGGAGGCTGAGACAGAATTGCCTAGAACCTGGGAGTCAGAGTTGTAGTGAGATCATGCCAGCCTGGGCGACAGAGCGAAATTCTGTCTCAAAGCAAAAAAAAAAAAAAAAAAGAATGTCTAAATGCAGTAGCTAAGTATGCAGAAGCCATTTCAGTGTGGGAGGCGAGGTGACTGAGTCCAGGGACTCCAGGTTTCTGGCTGAGGGGTTGAGACCGCCCATTGTCATTGTGATGAGTTGAAGGTGGAAAATGAGCTGGGCTGGGGGAAGGTGGTCATCTCCTCTGGATGTGATTTGAGAGTCCTGTTAGGTAGTTCACTGGGCATGGTCAGTAGGCAGTTGAGCTGAGAGGGTTTGGAGCTGGGATAGACTCCAGCCTCACCATGTGGGCAAGAGTAGGGGTCACAGAGTGTGAAGATGGCCAAGAAAGAGGACTGGGTGGGGGTCTGGGGTAGTCAGCAGCTGGTCATGGGCCATGGAGAAACAGATGCCAGGGGAAGAGGAAAGGGGAGTCAGACCCCAAGGGGAAAAGTGTCACTGGAAGGAGGGGCCAACCCCGTGTCACATCCAGCAGAGACACCAGGTACAGCAGAAGGACTATGGACATGACCATGAGGAGTGCCTTGTTGGCCATGACCTGGGAGAGATGGGGGTGAGAGCATGGGGGACCACACCATGTCCCCAGTATACAAAACAGTGCCTGGTAGACGGGATGGATTTATGGATGGATGGACAGGTGAATGGATGGATGAATGGACAGATGATAGATGGATGCAAAGACAGATGAATAGATGGACAGATGCATAGATGGACGGATGGACAGATGGAATGAATGATCAGAAAAGACTTCATGAACAATGTGAGACTGAGCTGCATCTCCCTGGATAGATATAAAAGCAGAAGAATCTCGTCTTGAGTCGGGAATGACCCAGTCTCCTGGTCCAGGGAGGAAGTCAGCCTGGCAGCCTGGCTTGACTGGGGACACTTGTGGTGGATTTCAGAGGCCCTTAAAATGGGGCCAAGTGAGGTTGCGCAGGTCTGAGCCAGCTCAGCACTCCTCAGCCACACCGCACAGCTGCTTCAGGGGATCTGTCACTCAGGGAGTTGCTGGGACCCGCTGGGCCAGCGTTACCATCGGCACCAACAGCTTCAGAGAGTGGGACACAGGCTGGGGTGACTCTAAGGCTGTGGGCGGCACCTGCTGCAGAGAAGGGACATGCAGAGAGACACTACTGGGATACTGGGCACCCCCTGCCCTGTGCCTAGGTCACAACCTCTACACTGCAGCCCTGTGCCCCTCACACCCAGCAGGTTCCTGCTCCAGCACAGCTCCTGGACTGGCCCCAGGTGCTGGCCCCGGAGGTTTCAATCCAAGCATAATTTACCGAGGCATGTGTTTGGCAGCGGGACCCAGCTCACCGTTTTAGGTAGGTGCCTCTGACAATTTTCCCCAGCCTGTCCCACCCTCTCCTGGCTCTGGAAAAGTCTGCTTTCTTTCTCTGGGGCTTCTTCCCCTCTGCCCTCCAAGTCTTAAGCATGGAGCCCTTCCTTTCTCCATGGAGTCTGAGGGAAGCGGGCTAGTCTCAGGGTATCCTGCAGGAAGGGCCCCCACCGTGGGATTAGCTGCCTTCAGGTTCCAACAGCAGGACACAGCCTGGTCCCAGTGCATGTGCTGGGATTGGGCAGGGTCAGGGCTCCTCCGCTCTCCCAGGGCAGATGTCTGAGTGAGGGACAGAGGCCAGTTCTGATGAGGGGCCCTGCAGTAGCCTTAGAGACAGTCCCAGGGACCCCAGGATCTAGGCTGAGGGCTGGATGGTCCTCTAGCCTCGGAGGGCCACACGGGGTCCTGGGGACACAGGGGTCACCCCAAGGGGAGACCAATGGAAGGCACAGAGAGGACTCTGGGTCTAGGCTGCAGCTCTGTGGCTTGTGCTGGGTCAGGACCTGGGGACACCGAGAAACAGGTGAGACTGGGTGAGGTCCGAGAGTCCAACTCTCCCAGGACAGTCACAAGAAAGGACAGGGTCTCTTGGGGCAGAGATGTGACTGTCCCTGGAGTCCTGTCACCTCTGGGGCCTGGTATCTCTCTGTTCACGGGTCGACCGCCCGCCTTCATTTGAAGAAGGGCACCTTAGACTCAGGAGGTGACTAGCGGGAAATAAATGGGGGTGCAGAGAACTCTAGGGCCACCAGGTGAAGTCCAGGGGCATCAGAGGCTGCTGGGGTGGGCGTGGGGTCTGTGGTGACCCGAAGTCTGGGCAAGCAGTCCCAAGAACCCAGCCGATGTGAAGGATCCTGTGGTCGGGCTGGTAGGATGGGGGTGACGGCAGAGCCCCAGGGTTTGTCTGGGTGGAGCCTGTGCTTTACCAGGAGAGGTGAGTGGGCCAAGCTGGGGCACAGCTTGTTGCCCCAGGGGGTGGGAGGCTCCAGGCCATGCCACCCCACACTGTGCCAGAACAGTTTTGTGTGCTGTGGGAGAGACTCCTAGATTCCTAATTCAGACTCCAGAAAGCAGGAAGGAGGGAGCACAGCGTGCCCTGGGTACACACGGGGAAACCGAGGCTGTAAAGGAAATGACTGGGCCAGGATGCCTGGGAAAGGTGACTTGGGAAGGCCCCTAGGAAGGTGCAGGGTTGTCTGCTCTCCAGAGGACTCTAGTGGAAAGGAGGGAATTAAGATGGGGGGAGAGACTCTGAGTGCACCAGCTAGCCACACCATGAACCCTCCCAGAGACTTTAGACAGAGAGAGGTGCTCCACAGCACCCCCCGCTACCTCTGCCATCTCTCACCCCCTCCTCTGTCCACATAGGTCAGCCCAAGGCCACCCCCTCAGTCACTCTGTTTCCGCCATCTTCTGAGGAGCTGGAAGCCAACAAGACCACACTGGTGTGTCTCATGAGTGACTTCTATCCAGGAATCTTGACGGTGATCTGGAAGGCAGATGGTACCCCCATCACCCAGGACATGGAGATGACTGCGCCCTCCAAACAGAGCAACAAGTATGTGGCCAGCAGCTATCTGAGCCTGACGCCTGAGCAGTGGAGGTCCCCCAACAGCTTCAGCTGCCAGGTCACGCATGATGGGAGCACCGTGGAGAAGACAGTGGCCCTTGCAGAATGTTCATAGGTTCCCAACCCGTCCCCCACCTACGGGGGCCTGGAGCTGCAGGATCCCAGGGGAGGGGTCTCTCTGCATCCCAAGCCATCCAGCCCTTGTGTACCCAGTAAACCCTCAATAAACATCCTTTGTCAACCAGAAATCCTGCTCCCTCTCTTCATTTCTTATCTCTCATACAATTTGATGCTTCTCCTGGGTTCTCAGTGTGGCGTTGGGGGAATCCTGGCACCAGTGGGAAAGCAGCCTGGAGGAGAGGATCACAGGCTCCCAGGCGTGTCCCCTGGGGACATAGGCCAGGATAGGAGGAGTCGGCTCAGTGAACACCGGTCCATCCATTCTCTCCCACCTCCCCTTCCTCCTTGCAGCTCACCCTCCAACTCGCTGTCTGTGTTTTGGAGGGAGCTATTTCTGGCTGAGCCCCCGGAAAACCCTCTGTCCCTGTCCTGGTCTGGACCTTCCCCTGACCCACGGCCTCTCTTTCCTCAGCCTGGAAATCCTACTCTAGGCCTGGATTCCCTGTGCTTCTGGCTCTGGCCCCTGGAATGCCATCCTTCCTCTCTGCCCAACTCCCCACCCCCAAGGGCTGGACTGTCTAGGACACTCCCACACCATCAAATTCATGAGCTCTTAAATTTTTCCACCTGACAACAGGTTCAGAGGTGTGAGAAAAATAGGAGGAAGTCAGGAAGGAAACACACATGAAAGGCCTGCAAGAGGCTCAGGACACTTGTAAAAGATAGGCTCTGAGCTCCCCAGGAACAAGTGCAAGAAGGGTAATAGGTGCTCCATCATTTCTTTCTTTCTTTTTTTTTTTTAGATGGAGTCTCGCTCTCGCCCAGGCTGGAGTGCAATGTCACGATCTTAGCTCACCATAACCTCTGCCTCCCCGGTTCAACGAATTCTCCTGCCTCAGCCTCCTGAGTAGCTGGGATTACAGGTACATGCTACAACACCCAGCTAATGTTTGTATTTTTGTTAGAGACAGCTTTTCACCAGTTGTTCAGGCTGGTGTGCTCCATCATTGCTAAGAGATTACACAAGTCTTTGCTCGAGTGAAGTTGGTGTTTTCAATGCTGAGGCCAGGCAGCTCATCATAATTAAAAGTGGGGATGTGTTTTACCCAAGGCCTCATACTGATGGGATTTGGGCTCTGACATGTGCACAGGTGACTGCCTGGCAGCCCTAGGACATGGAGATTTTCTCAGATGTTTGGCACAGAAAGTCACTGACCATCTTTGGAGGAAGCATCATTTTTGGGAAACACTTCTCCATTGGATCCTGAGCTTCAAGTGGAAAACCAGGTCCTGTGATGGGAATTTCTCTGTGAGGCTCCCTGGGTCTGGGGCTCCAGCTGCTCTCTGAGAAGAAGGTGTAGGGGGAGAGCATGGCCCAGCCACACCCAGCCCCTCCTGCATGGTTCCTGCTGAGCAGGGTGTTAGAGGGGTGGGGGCACCACCAGTGGTCAGGCCTGTGTTTCTGATGGTGGGGCCAAGGAAGGACACTCAGGGCATCCTAGGGAGTCTCTCCGATGGCTCCTGTTTGACTTTCCTGTGGCTGCTGTCACAAATGACTGCTAATTTAGAGGCTTAAAGCATCACGTATTGATTCTGTCCCTGGTGTGGGGTCAGACATCCAAAATGAATCCTAGAGTGCTAAAATCAGGGTGCTAGGCAGGCCAGGCTCCTTCTGAGGGCTCTGGGGAGAATCCATTTGTGGGATTTTTCCAGCTTCTAGAGGACACCCTGGGCTCCTGGCCCCTTCCTCCAACTTCAAAGCCAGAGCTCAGCACCTTCAAGTCTCTCTCCCACGCTTCTCTCTCTCTCCCCACCGTCTTCTCTCACCCTCCCTCTTTCTCTCCCTTTCTTTCCTTCCACCCCCACACCTGCTCTCACTCTGACCCTCTTGCCTCCTTCTTTCCCTTATAGAGACCGCATCTTGGACCCACCCAGATAACCCAGGATCATCTTCCACCTCAGGCTCCTTCACATCCTCACATCTGTAAAGTCCCTGTGGCCACACAACACTGCACATGGACAGGTCCCGGGACTGGGACACAGCCATCCCTGGGCCCTAATTCAGCCACCCACAGCTCCTTTCCCTCCTTCTTCTCTCCTCCGGGTATAAGAAGGGAATGCAGAGAGGTTGGTCAATGAATACACACCTACAGTTAGATGCAAGGAGTGTGTTCTAGTGTTGCATAGCAGAGTAGGGTGGCTATGGTTAGCAATAATGTATTGTATATTTCAAAATAGCTTCAAGAGAGAACTTCAAATATACACAACACATAGAAATGGTAAATACTCAAGGCCATACTCCAAATTCACTGTCTTAATGATGACATGTTGGATCCATGGAACCAAACAGTACATGCGCCTCATAAAAATGTTCAATATTATGTATCAGTATAATATTTTCTACAAATAAGAAAGCAAAAAAAAAAAAGAAGTTAAGCATAAACTAGGTATTTGACCTAGCAATTCCATCGCTAGGAATTTATCTAGAAGAAATGAAAGCATGTGTTCAAAAAGACGTATACATAAATGTTCTCACCAACCTCACTCACTCCAGGCAACAACTGGAAACAACCCAAGTGTCCGTCAGCTAGAGAATGGATAGACCCATGTGGTCTGTGCATACAGTGGAGTGCTGCTCAGTTATACAAAGAAAAGAAACTGGATACAGGCCACAGGAGGGATGAACTTCAAAACATTACAGTAAGTGAAAGAAGTAAAACTCCATGAGGGAAGTTGGTGGGTATGGACATAGTTTTGAACTGGCAGAATTTTTCTGTGTTCATCGGGGTATTATGTGTTGAGTCCCTATTGATCAGGTACTGTGCTAGGTACGGCCATTAGAGAAATGAGAAGCAGACACCAGCTCCATTGTGATGAGACTCACCCGATCAGCCATTTCTGATGAACACTCAGGTACCCTGACTCTCACTGCTCACATTTGTAGGCTTTACTTAATGCCACTTAAACCTCCCTATTCCCCAAGTCTTCTTTCTTTTCCATTTTGTTTTTTAGACAGAGTCTTGCTCTGTCACCCATGCTGGAGTGCAGTGGCACCATCTTAGCTCACTGCAACATCTGTGTCCTGGGTTCAAGCAATTCTCCTGCCTGAGCCACCTGAATAGCTGGGATTGTAGGTGCCCACTGCAACACCCAGCTAATTTTTGTATTTTTAGTAGAGACGGGGTTTTGCCATGTTGGCAAGGCTGGTCTCGAACTGCTCCTGACCTCAGGTGATCCGCCTTCGTCGGCCTCCAAAGTGTTGGGATTACGGGTGTGAGTCACCACACCTGGCCTCCAAGTCTCCCTCTTTCTAGCTCCCCTCTTTAGACACAGCTTTTTAAAGCAATCTCTGCCTTACGCATGGCTTCAATTGTTTTTTATATGCTCTGATGACAATAAAATTTAAATATTATTTATATATAGCAGCTTTATTTTACATGACACCTCATTCACTACGATTGTAAATTCAAAGTTGCTCTAAGAAAGTAATAACTAGGCCGGGCGCAGTGCCTCAAACCTGTAATCCCAGCACTTTGGGAGGCCAAGACGGGCGAATCAGGAGGTCAGGAGATTGCGACCACCCTGGCTAACATGGTGAAATCCCGTCTCTACTAAAAAAAAAGTACAAAAAACTAGCCAGGCGAGGTGACGGACGCCTGTAGTCCCAGCTACTCGGGAGGCTGAGGCAGGAGAATGGTGTAAACCCAGGAGGCAAAGCTTGCTGTGAGCTGAGATCGTGCCACTGCACCCCAGCCTGGGTGACAGAGCAAAGACTCTGTCTCAAAAAAAAAAAAAAGGAAAGTAATAACCAAAAAGTTGTCATATTTTAGTATGCAAATTTTAGGAAATTTCCGTAATGGTTTGACTGTGTAAGTGTTTTTTTAAAAAACATGACTTGTGATGTCACAGAGTGGAGTTATCCTACAGAGGTTTCTATCTAACTTTCTACCAGAGAGCTCCATTTGAATGCAATACTTAAGAGTCCAAAGCTATGTCTTTTTTTTTGTTTTTGTTTTTGAGATGGAGTCTCGCTCTGTCACTCAGGCTAGAATGCAGTGGCATGATCTTGGCTCACTGCAAACTCCACAACCTGGGTCCAAGTGAGTCTCCTGCCTTAGTCTCCTGAGAAGCTGGGACTACAGGCACCCACCATCGCACCTGGCTAATTTTTGTATTTTAGTAGAGATGCAGTTTCACCATGTTGGCCAGGCTGGTCTCAAACCCCTGACCTCATAATCCACCCAGCTCGGTCTCCCAAAGTGCTGGGATTACAGTCGTGAGTCATTGCACCCAACTGAAAACTATCTTATTCCCCATACCTATTCCTCTTCCTACATTCTCTGTGTAGGAGAAAGTCATTGCTATTTACCCAGTCCTTCAAACTAGAGCCTCAGCAGCTTGTTTTTCCTTTTACTTGCCCTGTTCTTCCACATCTAATCATCTAGCGCTTCCTGTTCTCTCTCCCAAATGATCACAACATTCTTCCATATACTGCAGTCATTTCCACTGCTTTTATCCTTACCTGTTCTTCCAGATGAACATAATGTCTCTCTCTCTTTTTTTTTTTTTTTTTTTTTTTTTTTGAGACAGAATCTCTCTCTTTGGCCCAGGCTGGAGTTCAATGGCATGATCTTGGCTCACTGCAACCTGTAACTCCCAGGTTCAAACAATTCTCCTGCCTTAGACTCTTGAGTAGATGGGACTACAAGCGCCCGCTACCACGCCAGGCTAATTTTTATATTTTCAATAGAGATGGGGTTAGTGATCCACCCCCCTCAGGCTCCCAAAGTGCTAGGATTACAGGCATGAGCCACCGTGCCTAGTTGTACCAGGGTTTTCTATTGAGTTTCTTGCCAAGGGTGACATCCAGTAATAACTCCCCGGCACTTTCCTCAGGACTGGAAAGCTCAAGCAGCCCAGGGTGAATAAAAGCCTGAGTAGTGCCTTCACCACAGAGGGGCAGGGTGGCCACAAGGTGGCCTGTTGTATCGACCTGTTGTATCGACTCCACCTGTAGCTGGTGCAGGGGGAAGGTGGCGCCCTGTTATGAATCTGTTATTTATGAGGCTGTGGCTGCTGCAACATCAGAATCCATACTGTAGAGCCCGGCAAGCTGGATGTGGGAGCCACGGAGGGCCACGAACTGCAGCACATCAGCAACCAAAACATGCCCACAGGTAAAAAAGCCACGGGTGCCGTTTATTTACTGGCACACCTATGGCCACCCTCACCCCCTTCCCATAGCCTCATCCCCAGAGACATCCTCAGCTTCCAGCTCCCTCCTGCCCATAGCCAGCTTTCCCAGATCTGGGGCATGGGGGCAAAGGCTGACTCTGCCTCTTGTCTTTGTCATTGAGGCTTTTTTGATCTAGAAAAGGGAGAGCCCGTTTTGCAATGAAAATTCAAATACCCCAATTTTGGAATCCCCATCCCATTCTCTAGCTTACCTGGCTGGCCAGTTTGGTACCTAAATAGAGGAATCAGGTAAGGGTCAGATTGTTTCTTTTCTACCATCCCTTAAGGTAGCTTATTTTTTTTAATTTTTATTTATTTATTTATTTAGTTAGTTAGTTAGATGGAGTCTTGGTCTGTTGCCCTGGCTGGAGTGCAGTGGTGTGATCTCAGATCACTGCAACCTGTGTTTCCTGGGTTCAAGTGATTCTTTAACCTCAGCCTCCTGAATAGGGACTACAGGTGCCCGCCACTACACCTGGTTATGTTTTTGTATTTTTAGTAGAGACGGGGTTTCACCGTGTTAGCCAGAACGGCCACAATTTCCTCACCTTGTGATCCACCTGCCTCGGCCTCCCAAAGTGCTGGGATTATAGGCATGAGCCACGGCGCCCAGCCCACATCTTCCGTTTCTTTGCACTGTGTGTGCGTACACTGAGTCAGTGGCTGCTCATGCTCGCCCCAGCCCCCGACAGTGGGAGAGTCCATCACAGGGATCAGTACCTGGTGAGTGCTGAGCCTCACTCACCTAGCTGTGCAGGAGGTCTCCAGTGAGGGTGATGGGCACCAGGCTAATGATAATGTCCTGAGTTCTGATGTGGCACTGGCCCTTTTCTGTCTGCTATGGATTGGAGCATCTCTTTTTATTCATTTCTTTATTTTTTGGAGACAGAGTCTCACTCTGTCACCCAGGCTGGAGTGTGCAGTGGCTCAATCTTAGCTCACTGCAACCTCCACCTCTCAGGTTCAAGCGATTCTGCAGCCTCAGTCTCCCAAGTAGTTGGAATTTCAGGTATGGGCCACCATGCCTGGCTAATTTTTGCATTTTTAGTAGAGACAGGCTTTCACCATGTTGGCCAGGCTAGTCTCAAACTCCTGACCTCAGATGATCTACTGCCTCGGCCTCCCAAAGTGCTGGGATTACAGGTTTGAGCCACCACACCCAGCCATGGATTGGAGCATTTCTAAGGCTTGAGGTAGTCATATTATGAAATACAATGCAGTATCTTCCTGATCTTCCCTGCTTTGACCAAGTGCTGAGGAATGAGCCCAGCACTGACAGATGTTGACCTGCACTGTTCTACATGATCCCTTACACTTCTCAGAATCTGTGAGCTGACCAGAAGCCTGTGGGCTTTCTATGTGTATTTCACAGTAATGTCCATGCCAACATCTCTTGTTCCCTGTACCTTTTGCTACCCAGGGTTATGTGACCACTGGGGCCCCATTTGATGATGGGCAAAGTTTGGCAGCTTATAGGCCACACAGTTCCAGGGACACACATAGGTGCTGGAACTCCCTGGTGTGGGGTCCTATCAGCAAGCCTGAGTGATGACACAGTTGAGTCATACAGACCATCAACATTGGGACCCATTTCCTGGTTCACTTTTGCCTCTTCCATTCAGGAGGTCAAAATCTGGGTTCACTCCTTTCTGCACGCTCTCCATCTAAGGAGTAGGGATATTAAACTGACCTTCAGGTAGAGCTGTGGTGAGGGAAGAAAGAGGTCATTTATGTAAAGTGTATGGTGGTGCTGAAGTTTCTCTTCCTTTCTATTAGAAGAATGACATGACTTGGGAGGCTGAGGTGAGAGGACCACATAGACCAGGAAGTCAAGAAAAGTGACACTTGTACTGTGCTGGGCATGTGGGGCCACATTTTGGGGGGAAAACACACATTTACAGACACAATCACAATCACGACACATTGATTCACCCCTAGCTACCTTCCAACCCTCCTGCACACAAACCCACACCATCTGAATGATATGGCTGTCTCCAGGGACTCTAGTGGATGATCACAGCTCTTCACTGAGCCATCTGTTTCTCACACTGCACTCCAGGTCCTCACTCCTATCAGGAACCTGAAGCCAGGCAGTCTCTCCAGACAAAAACAGGCAAGAGAGCCCCTGTGATCCATCACTTAGAATTGTCATCAGCAAGGGAGTGGTCTTAGCATATGTACAGTGTTAGAGAGGCGAATGACACACACTGGGGCCTGTCAGTGGGCAGGGGAAGGGAGAGCATCTGGATAAACAACTAATGCATGCAGGGCTTAATACTTAGGTGATGGGTTGACAGGTGCAGCAAAGCACCATGGCACAGTTTTAGCCATGTAACCAACCTGTACATCCTGCACATGTATCGCAGAAGTTAGAAAAAAAAAATTAGGAGGTGGATGGATTGTCTGAGGTTAGGAGTTCGAAACCAGCGTGGCCAACCTGGTGAAACCCTGTCTCTACTGAAAATGCAAAAATGAGCTGGGTGTGGTGGCAGGTGCGTGTAATCCCAGCTACTCCGGAGGCTGAGGCAGCAGAATCACTTGAACCCAGGAGGCAGAGGTTACAGTGGGCCGAGATCGAACCATTGCACTCCAACCTGTGTGACTGAGCTAGACTCCGTCTCAAAAAAAAGAAAAAAAGAGAGGAGCTGTAGAGAAATATCACAGGGTTAGTACTCATACCTCTGAGACCCCTTCTGAGTAGGAGTGAGCAGGACCTGGCCTTCCTGCCTGCCGAGAGCATGGTGTGGACATCATCCTAAATGCCTCAAATATGGAGTTTCATTGCTTTCTCTTGTCATCTCCATCTCTTTGTGCAATGATGACAGTGACACCAGCAGAAATTGGTGAGGGGTCAGAACAGGAATCAGGTCCCCACTTGTCTGACACAGAGCAGACAGGACACAAGTCAGCAGGGATGGACTTCAGGGTCAGGACAGACACAGACAGGTCCCAGGCCTGATCTTCCTGGGGCTGGGACAGATGAGTTTTTCTTTTTCACCTCTTCTGGGAGTCACTTGAGGGATGGTCCTTGAGGAGACACTGTTGGCCAAGGGTTTTCTGGCCCAGAAATGTGTGTGTGTGGTCTTTTCTTTTTCTTTTTTTTTTGAGATGGAGTCTCCCTCTGGAGTGAGTGGTGCGATCTCACTGGCTGGAGTGCAGTGGTGCGATCTCAGCTCACTGCAACGTCCACCTCCCAAGTTCAAGTAATTCTCCTGCCTCAGTCTGCTGAGTAGCTGGAATTACAGGCATGGGCCAGCATGCCCAGCTAATTTTTGTATTTATAATAGAGACGAGGTTTCTGCATGTTGGCCAGGCTGGTCTCGAACTCCTGACATCAGGTGATCCACTTGTCTCGGCCTCCCAAAATGCTGGGATTACAGGTGTGAGCCACCGTGCCTGGCTGAAATGTGTTATAATGGGACGGACCACCTAACACTGGGCCTGTAGCTACAGCACTCCTGAGTAGCAGGGGAGGTGGGGAGGGACATGAGTTCCAGTGCACCAGGAGCTCAGCAAAGGGATGGGGACGGATTTCAGAGTCCAGCTCATCCTTGCAACACTTCTGTGGAATCCAGAACACATCAGTTTCCATTTATTTTATAGAAGGTTTGGAATCTTCAGTGTCAAACTCTATCTGTGTTGTGTTTTCCCACAGGTTGGATAGAGGAACCCTGGCTATGGGTGTTTCCTGCCAGGGCAGTGACTGTGTCTTCCTCATTAGTCCTTATCCCAGAGGTCAGTCCTGGGGAGAACATGTTAGGCCCCATGGGCATTGTAGTGAACACATCCCTGGGATGAGTTCTAGGTCAGCCCTGGGCTGGGATCTAGCACAGGTGTGGAAATGTTCCCTTCTCAGTCCGTCCAGCCTGTTGAGCCCTACACCAATCCTGGAGCCTGCCCCAGCTTCTGAATCAGGGTCCCTGGAGATGAGGTTGAGCTCTTGAGGACAGTGAGGTGCCTCTGGCCCTCGGCTCCTGCTGCTCTGATCCTGTCTAGACAGGGTGTGCAGGGCCACGCTCTTCCCTTGTGTGCATGTGTCCCCCCTGCTGGCATCCCTCTGGATCTGGATGTTGTCCTCATTGTTATATCCCCAGCCCCACACAGTGACTGGACCTTTTGCAGATGTCCATTAAGTAACCATAAATGTATGGTAGGAGCAGAGCTGCGAACCATTTTGCAAGAAAACACCAGGTGAGGGGGGTTATGTCTTCCTTATGTCTGGGTCTCCTGTGCCATCTAGTGCGGTTCTCGGTCATATATGTGCCTCTTCATATTTAAATACATTTAAATATTTACAATTAAAAGTTCAGGGCTGGGCATGGCGTCTCATACCTGTAATTCCAGCACTGTGGGAGGCCGGGGCGGGTGGATCAGCTGAGGTCAGGAGTTCGAGACCAACCTGGCCAACATGGAGAAACCCCATCTCTACTAAAAATGCAAAAATTAGCCCATGTGTGATGGTGCATGCCTGTGAGCCCAGCTACTCAGGAGACTGAGACAGAAGAATCGCCTGAATCCGGGAGGCGGAGGTTGCAGTGAGCCGAGATCATGCCATTGTACTCCAGCCTGTGCAGCAAGAGTGAAACTCTGTCTTGAAAAAAAAAAAATTCAGAACTTCATCACAACAGCCACCATGCAATCCCCCAGCAGCCTTCTGTTCATGCAGCAGAGAGATTTCCATTCCCGCAGAATGCTCTTTCACATCTGCTGTAAGCCTGGCTGAGGGGCTGATTATTGAACTCCTCTAACTCAAAGCGTGCACCTTAAAGTGGGAATCTCAGGGCTGTGAGATTGGAGGTGAGACCTATAATGGGCCAGTGGAAGGAAAAAGTTGAAAGGTGGTTCCTTCAGTTCCTCTTTCTCACTTGAAGGCTGGCAAGTGTGAGTAATGCCTTTCTAGAGACCTCTGACTCCCCAAGCCCAGAGAGAGTCTGGCAACACCGAGGGAAGGGCAGAATGATGTCCAGTGTGGCCTCACCTGGAGTAGGAGTGTGGGTGAGTTGCTCTCTGGAATAACTTCTTGTGGAGTTTTTGTCTCTGAAGATTGGCCAATGGACACCGTCCATGAGGGCAGCTGCGATGAGGCAGGCCTGCAGGTAGAGCATGATAGTCTAGGAGGATCTCTGGGAGCAGTTGGGTGACACCTGTTGCTTTGGAAATCAGGAAAAGGGCAATGAAGTCAGAACCAAAGCAAATATGTGTAGAAGTGTGACTTGTTCCTTTTGTATTTTAATAAGATAGAGACGAGGTCATTTGCCTCCATGGGCTTTGTGTGCTGTGTTTGTAACCATTTTTTTTTCTTGCTCTGGTGTTTAATGGTTACCAGAAGATCAGTTTTTCCTGTCTATGTCACAGCAAACATCAAAGCCTTGGTCTTTGACTTGGGAATGCAGAGTCTTATTAGGTCCAGGCACTGACTAAGATGCGAGATATCTGGTGAGACTCCCTCATGCTCACTACTTGAACATAGTTGTTTCTCTGAGATGGTCTCAGAATCTTCAGTCCCACGCTCCATATGCCGCATCCAGCAAAGCTCCCTGAGGGACCCACAGTTTCCAACCACCAGGGCACTGACATTACCTCTGTGTTCTTTTAGGCCCCCCTGAGGACCACCTGAGTTTAAAATCTCTACCACCAAGTGAGGAAGACAATGGTGATGCCCAGGTTAGACTCCCTTTCTTTGCATTCTAAGGAAATGCTGCTTTCCTGATGTGAGAAACAAACTCACCCATTGAAACCCAAAGAATGGACTCAGATGCCTGCAGAACAGAGAAAGTGAGAATTTTAATGATCATCTTGCAAGAGATAGAAATATATATATATTTATTTATGGTTGTCTTACTGCATTTTGTGGAAGCCCACAATGCATTGCCATCCTAGTCAGCTTAGGAGCTTTTCAAGTATTTGACTTATGACCTAAGTAGTTGGGCAGGCTGAGAAGAACAGATGAAGCAAGCTATTTTGAGGGCTAGTAAACTTTCAACTTAGACTATACTTCTTTGTTAAAGTGAGGACAACTAAGCGGGGTGGAAGGGGAACCCAACAAGCCGGCATTGCCCATCCAACCACGAGCTTAGTATTTCTTCTGTCCTTTGCTGAGCTAAACAACTTCAAGGCACTTTGTCTTAAAAATGGACCACTGTATACACTATTTCCTTCACCTGATTTCTTTCCCTCTCAATTAATTTTGGTATAAGGATATGATGGGACACATTATGTGCAACATACACAATAGTCCTTCTTGGGGTGGAGTTCACTGGGAATGTCTTCCCATCTAATACATGACATGGTGGGATGTTTTTGAATGACAGCATCCATCATCAACTGTAATGCAGAGGCATTTTCCTCCACACAAGTTTTCCTCTTCGAATTAGGCATTGTGAGTTTACCAATCTAAATCAACTTCAAAGAAATTCTGTGAGAAAAGCTCTTGTCTTTTCCATGCATGTCCTCTATGCTAGAGTGCTTTGTCTTTGACATGGACTCAACCACTGTTTCAAAAGTAGTTTTCTGAAGTCATCAACAGACGAACGGATCTGTGTAAGGGGGCAACAGAACTGATCTGATCCTCATAGCATCTTCTTTTGTCTCACTGCAGATTTTACCATCACCTGTCCTGGGTACGTATCTTGAACTAACTCATTTTCTGAGAAACAAATTTGCTGGCTTGAATATATAGAAACCTTAATCTGGATTCCTGTTAAAAAATGTTGGGGGTCTGTTGAGAGCAAATGATTATGCAAGTGTATAAGTATGACCAGAGGGGCTGTAGAAATGTGTGTGAACCCAGAGGACCAACCAGGAGATTTTGTGTGAGCCAGTGAGTCTTCACTGGGATTAGGAGAAGTGAGTGCACCTCTCACTGACTTATCCTGATGTTGGTGGTTTTAAAGAGTGGATTCTGGAGAATCTCAGCAGGGAAGAGGATGCCTTTCCAGGTAGGCAACAAGACTTCAGATGGGGTCTAATAAAACAGCATTTCCAAGAACCTTCATATTATACCTGCTGCTTGGGAGGCTTAAGGAGGGTATAGAAAGAGAAAAAGAAAAAGTAAATATAAGCCGCATTTGTTATTTTCAGACTTTAATGTCATCATGGTGAGGAGTACTATGTTCATGGGCTTTTGAGTATCCTGTATTTTCAATCACCTGTTCTTGGTTTATTATTTAAAGATGACTTTTCGGAGAATACCTGCTCTTTTCTGCCTGTGCCACTGCAAATTGTCACAGCCTTTGGTTTGGGACATAGTTCTGTCACAGGCAGTTACTTAATCCTGAATATAAAACTCTTCTGCGGTGTGCCCAGATGCATAGGAGAGATTGATCCACACCTTATGAACTTAGGTTTCATGGCAGGACATTCATTTGTCTATCCTTGCTGTTTACCTCTGGTATCAAGACATCTCCCTGGGCATGGAGGACAGAATGAAAATTCACTGTGGGCTCACTGAAAAGCTCCAGTGTCTTAGAAATGGAGGGAGAAACACAGCCTTGAGTACACTGTCAGAATTCCATTTCTTCATGTGAATGAGAATATGCAGTTTTACCATCATTTGTGGAAGTCGTTTTCCTTTCCCCATTGTGTATTCTTGGCACCTTTGTTGAAGATCAGCTGACTCTGTATGTATGCATTTAATTCTGTGCTCTCGATTCTATATCTGTGATACTTATGGGTGCCTCCCACAGTAGAAGCATGCTGTCTGAATTTTTCTGTTTATTTTTATTTTTATTTTTAGATTTCAATCTCATGAATGTGCATCTTCCAACACTATTCTTTTTCAATGTTGCCATGGCTATTTAAGGCCTTTTGAATCCTAATCCATGGCTAATTGAATCCTAATCTTAGGATTATCTTTTCCATTTCTGCACAGATGGCTGTTGCCAGTTTGGTAGCAGTTGTTGTTAGTCTATAGATCATGTGTGTAGTATTGTGTGTTAGTCAGGTTTAGTCTTCCTTTCCATGAATATGGGAAGCCTTCCAACTTACTTGTACGTTCCTTACTTTCTAGAATCTTTATGTTGACAGCTGATTATTTAGATTTAATGTGACTGATATGAATTTGTGATTTCTTTTTTTGTTTTTTTGTTTTTGAGACAGAGTCTCACTCTGTCACCATACAGGTGTGCAATGATATGATCTCTGCTCACTGCCACCTCCACCTCCCGGGTTCAAGTGATTCTCCTGCCTTATCCTCCTGAGTAGCTGGGTCTACAGATACATGCCACCACATCCAGCTAATTTTTGTATTTTTAATAGAGAAGTGATTTTACCTTGTTGGCCAGGATGGTCTTGATCCACACACCTTGGCCTCCCAAAGTGCTAGATTACAAGCATGAGCCACGTCTGCAAATCTGTATCTTTGCCATATTTTGTCTGTCTGAATGATTATGCATCAATAAAAATATTATGTATGCTAGTTAACCAAAAATCACCCCCACACTCAGGGACATTTTTTCATGAATTTGCTCATTTTCTATTGGTATACATTTCCTCATTTCAGTAGCTCGTGTATATTTCTACCTGGAAACTTATCCTCATGGCAGAAAGTTTTCAGAGTCATGTCTCTCAGCTTCACTGGTGTAGGTTGCGCAGGCTGTGTGAGCTTGGCCTGTTTGAATGAAGCCTGATCTTTAGGGAATCTCCTGAGGGAGAGCGACACAGAGCTGCTGAAGCCCTTGATCACAGGAACCCAAAAAATTGTGTGCACACACCATGGTTCCAGAAGAAGACTTACAAAGAGGACATCATGACTATTTTTCATTTTATCGTTTTAATACTTAGTTTTTTAAATGACCTCTATGAAAAAGAAATTGTGATCTGTCTGGTGCAGTGACTCATGCCTGTAATCCCAGCACTTTGGGAGGCCGTGGTGGGCAGATTATGAGGTCAGGAGATGGAGACCATCCTGGCTAACATGGTGAAATCCCATCTCTACTGAAAATACAAAAAAAGTTAGCCAGGCGTGATGACGGGTGCCTGTAGTCCCAGCTACTCCAGAGTCTGAAGTAGGAGAATGGTGTGAACCCAGGAGGTGGAGCTTGCAGTGAGCCAATATCGTGCCACAGAACTCCAGCCTGGATGACACAGTGAGACTCTGTTTCAGAAACAAACAAACTAACAAATGAACAAATAAACGAACAAAAATGTGTGATCAGTAGAACAGAGTAATTTGGGTAAAATTGAATCCTTTTCACCAATAAATTAAGTAATTAATCCTTTAAAACAGATGCTAGATGTAGTACCAGCATAATTGGGTGCTAATGTACTTACACAGTCGTGAATACGTTAAGAAAATGCTGTTTGTTTCGTAGAGTTTCAAAACATTTGAGACGGAGGAAGGCACTCTTCCATTGACCCTTAGTGTGTGCTTTATTTCCATTTTGGGTTGACTGTTTTGTGTTGCTGCATGATGTCTTTAGTACAAGGCCAAGGCCTCCATGTCTCATGTCTTTCCTGATCCCCTCCTTTGCCATCCCTCTTCCACTCAGGGGAATAGCCCAGCATCAACTCAGTCCATGCTTGTTAATCAACCACCTCCATACACCACATCCAGAAAAGCTCGCTGAGTGACTCACAGTCACCAACCATCGGTGCACTGATCTTTCTTGTGTCCTTCCAGCTTTTTCTATGGAAACCTGAGTTTAGTATGCCTACCACCAAGTGAAGATGATGATGGGTGATGATAATGATTGATGATGATGTCAGGTAAGAACCTTTCTTTGTCTTGTAAGGAAATGTTGGTTTTCTGATGTGAGAAACAAACTCACCAGTCCAAACCCAAAGAATGGACTCAGGGAGCTGAAAAACAGCAAGAGTGAGATTTTCTTTCCTTTTTTTTTTTTTTGTTTTTTTTTTTTTGAGACAGAGTCTCGCTCAGTTGGCCAGGCCGGAGTGCAGTGGTGCCATCTCAGCTCCATCTCCTGGGCTCAATGAATTCTCCTGCCACAACCTCCCGAGTAGCTGGGATTACACGCATGTGTCCCCATGCCCAGCTAATTTTTGTATTGTTAGTGGAGATGGTGATTCAGCATGTTGACGAGACTGGTCTCGAACTCCGGACCTCAGGTAATCTGCCCACCTCAGCTTCCCAAAGTGTTGGGATTACAGGTGTGAGCCACTCCACCTGGCAGAAAGTGAGACTTTTAATGACAGTGTTGCAAGATCCGGTGTCTGATGGGCAGACACACCCAGCACACTTTCCACAAGCAATTTATCCCCTAGTGTGCAGGTCCCTCCCCTGGTTCCTCATAGGCTGAGAACTGTGGGGTCACAATCTTCCCAGGTGTTGCCTATTGATTTTTGTGGAGAGACTTTAGGTATTTTTCTAGAGTTGTCTTACTGCATTTTGTTGCAGCCCACAATGCATTGCTATCCTAGTCAGCTCAGGGGGACTTCAAGTATTTGACTTATGACCTAAGTAGCTGGCCAGGCTGAGAAGAACAGACAAAACGAGCTATTTTCCAGGCTAGTAAAATTTCATCTTAGACTAATCTTCTTTGGTTGAAGTGAGGGCAACTAAATGGGGAGGAGAGGGTCCAATGAGCAGGTATTGCCCATCCAATCAGGAGCCTGGCATATCCTATTTCCTCTGTCCTTTGCTGACCTAAACTGGTTCAAGGCACTTTGTGTTAAAAATGGACCACTGTATACATTATTTCCTTCATCTGATTTCTTTCCTTCTCAATTAATTTTGATATAATAATATGACAAGGCACATTATGTACGACACACACTATTCTCTTTGTGAGGATGGAGTTCAGTGGCAGTTTCCTTTCATCTAATACATGACACACTAGGATGTTTTTGAAGGACAGCGTCCATCACCAACTGTAATGCAGAGACATTTTCCTCCACACCAGTTTTTCTCCTTGGATTAGGCATTGTGCATTTACCAACCTAAACCAACGTCAAGGATAAATTTTGTGGGAAAAGCTCTTGTCTTTTCCATGAGTGTCCTCTATTCTAGAATGTTTGGCCTTTGACTTTGACTCACCACTGTTTCACAGGTAGTTTTCTGAAGTCATCAAGAGACTCACAGATCTGTGTAAGGGGTGCAGCAGAATTGATCTGATCCTCATGGCATCTTCTTTTGTCTCGTTGCAGATTTTACCATCACCTGTCCTGGGTACGTACCTTGAACTAACTCACTTTCTGAGAAAGAAACTTGCTGGCTTTAATATATAGAAACCTTAATCTGGGTTCCTGTTAAAAAGTATTGGGGATCTGGTGAGAGCAAATGATTTTGCAAGTGTATAGGTATGACCAGAGGGGCTGTAGAAATGTGTGTGAACCCAGAGGACCAACCAGGAGATTTTTTGTGAGCCGGTGTGTCTTCACCTGGAGGAGGAGAAGTGAGTGCACCTCTCCCTGAGTTATCCTGATGTTGGTCGTTCTAAAGATTGGATTCTGGAGAATCTCAGCAGGGAAGAGGATACCTTTCTAGGTAGGTAAGAAGATTTCACGTGCAGTCTAATAGCAGAGCATTTCCAGGAGCCTTCATGTTATACCTGCTGCTTGGGAGGCTGAGGGAGGGTGTAGAAAGAGAAAAAGAAAAAGTAAATGTAAGTGAAGTTTGTTCTTTTGAGTTGATGAGATTTTGAGTATCCTGTGTTTTTGATCACCTCTTCTTATTTATTATTTAAAGATGATCTTTCTAGAACACCTGCTCTTTCCTGCCTCTGCCACTGCAAAATCTCAAAGCCTTTTGTTTAGGACAGAGTTCTATCAGAGGCAGTTACTTAATGCTGGAGACAAAATTCTTCTGTGGTGTGCCCAGAGGCATAGGAGAGATTGATCCTCACCTTATGAACTGTTAGGTTTCCTGGCAGCACACTCATTTGTCTGTTTTTCCCTGCTTACCTCTGGTATCAAGAGCTCTTCCTCGGCGTGGAGGACAGAATGAAAATTCAATCTGGGCTCAGTGCAAAAGCTCCAGTGCCTTGGAAATGGAGGAAGAAGCACAACCTTGAGCACACTGTCAGCATTCTATTTCTTCATTTGAATGAGAATGTGCAGTTTTACCATCATTTGTTGAAGAGGCTTTCCTTTCCCCCCATTGTGTATTTTTGACACCTTTGTTGAAGATCAATTTACTGTATATGTGTGCATTTAATTCAGGGCTCTCTATATCTGTGAAACTTATGAGTGACCCTACGCTAGAAGCATACTTTCTGTATTTCTGTATTTTTTTTTGTGTGTGTGTGTGTATTTCAATCTCATGAACCTGCATCCTCTAACTCTATTTTTTTAACGTCATCATGGTTACATAAGGCACATAAAATTCGTTAAAATTGTAGGATTATCTTTTCCATTTCTGCACAGATGGCTGTTAGCAGTTTGATAGTAATTGTTGTGAGTCTGTAGATCATGTCTGTATTATTGTTAGTCAGGTTTAGTCTTCCTATCCATGAATACAGGATGCCTTTCCACTTATTTGTACCTTCCTTATTTCCTAGGATCTTCATGTTGACAGCTGATAAGTTAGATTTAACATGACTGATAAAAATTTTTGATTTCCTATACCAATATTTTGTATGTCTGAATGAATAGGCATCATATATATATATATATATAGAGAGAGAGAGAGAGAGAGAGAGATAGAAAGAGAGAGAGAGAGACAGGAGGAGAGAGAGAGAGAGAGAGATGGAGGTTCACTTTTCTTGCCCAGGCTGGAGTGCAATGGCATGATCTCGGCTCACTGTAACGTCTGCCTCCCAGGTTCAAGCAATTCTCCTGCCTGAGACTCCTGAGTAGCTGAGATTTCAGGCGCTCACCACCATGCCTGGCTAACTTTTTGTATTTTTAGTAGAAATGGGGTTTCACCATTTAGGCCAGGCTGGTCATGACCTCCTGACCTCAGGTCATCCACCTGCCTCAACCTCCCAAAGTGCTGGGATTACAGGTGTGAGCCAGAGTACTCGGCCAAAAAAATAATTTTTCAGTCAACTAGTTAACCAAAAATCACCCCCATACTCATGTACATTTTTTCATGAATTTGTTCATTTCTATTGGTATACATTTCCTCATTTCAGTAGATAATGTGTATTTGAACTTTTAAACTTATCTTCATGGCAGAAAGTGGTCAAAGTCACGTCTCTCAGCTTCACTGGTGTAGGTAGAGCAGGCTGTGTGAGCTTGGCCTGTTTGAATGAAGCTTGATTTTTAGGGAATCTCCCCAGTGAGAGTCACACAGGAGATGCTGAAGCCCCTGATGACAGGGCCCCAAAAGGGTGTGTAGAAGTCGTTCCAGAAGAAGACTTACAAAGAGGAAATCATGACTATTTTTAATTGTAGCATTTTAATATTGACATTTTAAATGATCTCTATGAAAAAGAATGTGTGATTAATAGAATAGAGTAATTTGGGAAAAATTGAGTCTATTTCACCCCAAAAATAGGCTTTTAATCAAGTAATAAATCCTTTAAAACAGATGCTAAATGTAGTATCAGCATGATTAGATTCTAGTGTACTGACACGGTCTTGAATACACTAAGAAACGGCTGTTTGTTTAGAAGAGTTTCAAAACATTTGGGAGGCAGGAAGGCACTCTTCCATTGACCCTCAGTGTGCATTTCAGTTCCATTTTGAGTTGATTGTTTTGTGTTGCTGCCCGATGCCTCTAGTACGAAGCCAAGGTCTCCATATCTCATGCCTTTCCAGCTCCCCTCCTCTGCCATCCATCTTCCACTCAGGGGAATAGCCCAGTATCAACTCAGTCCATTCTTGTATATCAACCACCTCCATACACCACATCCAGCAAAGCTCCCTGAGTGACTCACAGTCACCAACCACCGGTGCACTGATCTTTCCTCTGTGTCCTTCCAGCTCGTCCTGAGAATGGCCTGTTTTTAAGATACTCACCACAATGCAAAGATGAAGATGATGATGATGATGATGGTGATGTTGATTGTGATGATGATGATGATGATGATGATGATGTCCAGGTAAGATCCCCCTGTTTGTCTTCTACATCAATGTTGCTTTCCTGATTCTTTACGTCTCAATTAATTTTGATTTGAAAACCTGGCAATGTACATTATGTACACTGTACACTATTGTCTTTGTGGGGCTGGAATTCAGTGAGCGTGTCTTCCCAACTGATACATGCTATGCTGCTTTTAAATGACAGTATCCAATATCAATTGGAATACTGAGGCATTTTCCACAATACCAGTTTTCCTCCTTGGATGAAGCATTGTGCGTTTGCATATCAAATTAAATTTAAAGGTAAATTCTGTGAATAGAGGTCTTGTTTTTCTATAGCTATCCTCTGTGCTAGTCTTTGGGGATTTTGACCTATGGCTAAATCAGTGTACTGCCTTCTGGTTTTTTATCATTGTCAAGAGAATAACAGAGCTGTGTGAAGTGCACAGCAGAATCTGATTCTCATAATGTTTTCTTTTATATAATTGCAGATAAGAGCTTGGAAAGGAAACGGTATGTACCATGAAATAACTCACTTCTCGAGGGAATAACTTGCTGGCTTCATTGTATAGAAACCTGATTCTTGATTCCTGCTGGGAAAGAGACTTGGGATTCTCGTGAAAGTGATTTTGCCAGTATAGACCTCTGGCCCAAGAAGCTGTAGGAAGGTTTGTCAATCCAGAAGAAAGATTAGGGGATCAAGTAGGAAGCAGCCTGGGGTGGGAGAAAAGCCCATCATTCAGCTTCAGCTAACGTAGGAGGAGTTGGGGAGTCACACTCTCTAATGACTTATCCTGGTGTTTTTCTTTCTAAAGACTTGACGCTGGAGAGTATTAGTGACGAGGAGACTCATCCAGGTAGGTAACTACGTGCCAGGAAAATCCCAATGGGAAAAGGTTCCCAGGAGCCTCCAGGTTATCCCTGCTGATCGTGAGGAGGGGCTGAAGGAGGGGGTATGAAATCAGAAGGAAAATAGAAATGTGTGTGAGGTCTGGCTTGTTGTTTTCAGTTTCTTGGCATCATGGTAAGAACTGTCTGTATGGGCTATGAGGGTGCTGCGTTCATGAGAGATTCTCTTTGCAGTCCACCTGCTCTTTTCTTCCTGTGGAACATCAGAGCCTTTGGTTTAGATTAGTCAATACTCCTTGGGATTGGTCACAAGGGGTGTAGGCTTAAGCACTGGGTGTCATCTGTGATGAAGGGAATCTGGGGGACACAGCTCTCTCACAGGCATTTCCTAGAACCTAGAGACACAGTTCTTCTGCTGTGTGCCACGGGGAAATCAAGAATCACCCTCTGAACTTTCAGGACTTGTTAGTGCACGTTCATGTTTCTGTCCTCACTGTGCGCTCCTGGTTTAAAGGGATCTCCCGGGGTGGATGGTGGGGTGAATATTCACTCTAGGCTCATTGGTAAAACTCCAGGCTCCTTTGAAGGGAGGAGGAAGGTTTGACCTTGAGCACATTTCCAGCCTCCACTTCCAACCCAGTCACAGATTCTGAGCTGCGGCTTCTTTCTCCCCAGTTCTCTAATTTTGGGGGAAGCCAAGAGTTCCCACAAAAGATGGTATCACACTATTTCCTGTCTTCAAAAATTTGGCTTTGGTTTTGTTCTGTAAGTTGACATTCATCACTCAAGTTCTAGACTTTTTGTTTCTTTCTTTTTTTTTCTTTTTTTGAGTATTTGGATTGCTGTTCTTGCCTTGGTTTGCTAAACATAATAAGCCCCAGGTCTATCCATGCTGCTTAGGACATGATTGTGTGTTCTTATGGCTGTGTAGTATTTTGTGATGTGTATGCACCACATTAAAAAAAAAAAAACAAAAACTCAAATCCACTGTTGCTGGTCAGCTAGGATGCTTCCACATCTTTGTTCTTGTGAATGGCATGGCCATGAATGCGGGACAGCATGTGTCTTTTTGATAGAAGGATTTATTGTCTTTTGGGTAGATACTAAGTGTCGTGGAATTGCTGGGTCTGATGGTAGTTGTGTTTTAAGTTTTTTGAGAATCTCTCAACTGGTTTGCACAGTGTGAACTAGTTTTCACATTGACCAAGAGTGTAGCAGCGTTCCCTTTCCTTTGCTGCCTCACCAGCATGTTGTTTTGACTTTGGAAAATTACCCATTGTGACCAACATGAGATGATATCTTATTGTGTTTGGGAGTTGCATTGCACTGAGGTTGTGCATTTTTTCATGTTGGTTGATCACTTGAACGTCTTCTTTTTTTTTTTTTTTGAGACAGTATCTCACTTTGTTGCCCAGACTGGAGTGCAGTGGTGCAATCTTGGCTCACTGCAACCTCTGCCTCCTGGGTTCAAGTGATTCTCCTGCCTCAGCCTCCTGAGTAGCTGGGATTACAGACAACTGTCACCACGCCCACCTAATTTTTGTATGTAGATAAGGGGTTTCACCATGTTGGCCTGGCTGGTCTCAAACTCCTGACCTCAGGTGATCCACCCACTTCAGCCTCCCAAAGTCCTGGGTTTACAGGTGTGAGCCACCGTGCCTGAGTAGCAGTGATTGTTTTTGTAAGGTAAAGTCAATAACAAAAACTAGAGTTTTTGACTTCTGTTGTTGGAAGTGGTTTTTTTTCTATTTTTCTCTTTTGTCTGTTGTTTGCTTTTATATCCTGTGAGCTTAGATTCAGGTTTTCCTCAACTTAAGCTCACTCTGTGTTTTCCTGTAGCAGTTTTATGCTTTTAGGTCTTGTGTTTAGGGTTTAATGTATTTCGAGTTTGTGTTTGTGTATTGTATAACATCAATGTCTTATTTCATTCTTTTGTATGTGGCTATCCAATCTTTTCAGACTGCTCAATTGAACAGACTGCTGACTCCTCATCTCATCCTTTTTCCCCTTGGGGACACAGTCCCACTCATGCTGTCACCCAGACTGGAGTGCAGTGGTGAGATCTCAGCTCTCTGCCACCTCCGCCTCCTTGCTTCGAGTGATTCTCCTGCCTCATCTTCCCAAGTGGCTGGGATTGCTGCTGTGCACCACCACACCTGACTAATATCTTTTGTATTTTTACTAGAGATAGGATTTCACCATTTTGGCCAAGCTGGTCTGAAACTCCTGACCTCAAGAGGTCCACCCAACTCGGTCTCTGAAACTGCTGGAAGTACTGGTGTGAGCCACAGCACATGGCCTCATTGCATCTTCTAGGCATTCTTTGAAAAAGAATGTGTTGACTGCAGGTGTGTGTTTAGATTCTCTTAAGTCCCTAGGTTGATGGATTCATTTTTATGCCACTACTGTAGTCTTTGGATGAGTGGAGGTGTTACATGTAATTTGAAATTGGGGAGTGTGTGGCCTCCAATTGAGTTTGTTTTCCCTAGAATTGCTTTGCATATTCAGGTTCCTTGGATCTTCAGTGGATCCATGTGAACATTTAGCCGTGTATTGTTAACATTTCATAAAACGTTTGTTTTACACTTCATGTCCAGAATTAGGGGTGCATTGGGACATTGTGATACTTATTTGTATACCTTGAGTATGGATAAAATCAGGGAGTTTCCCATGCTTGTGACCACGTGTAAGTTTGATATCTTCAATGTGTGAACATTCAGTATCCTCCTTGGTAGCTACTTTGAAAACGGCATAACCATATTGTTAAGTATCATCGCCCTGCTTTGGAGTGGAATACCAGAATGTATTCCTCTCCTGTAACTCTCTGCGTACCTATTGCCAGTCCTTGAGGTCCTGTCCTCCACCTAGTCTGTGATGACTACTACTGTATTTTCACCTTCAGTGAGTTAAAGTTTTCAGCTCCCACATGAGTGAGAACATGCAGGCTTGGTCTTTGTCTGCCTTTCTGATGTGATTGAACAGAATATCTGCAGGTGCAGCCATGTTGCTGGAAATGATAGGATTCCATGAATTTTGATGGCATAAAAGTATTCCATCCTGTCTGTGTACCAGAGATTCTTCATCCCTTCATCTGTGGATGAACAGATAGGCTGATTTCTTCTCTTGGCTTTTGAGCATAGGGCTGAATGCCACCTGGGATGACAGATAATCTCTTCCATGTCCTGATCATGTCCTCTGTGTATATACCTAGGAATAGAATTGCTGGAGAAAATGGTAGTTGTTGTTTTAGGATTTCAAGGAACATCCAAGTGGTTTCTTTAGTGTGCATACTAGTTTACCATTTCCCACCAGATGTGGAGACAAGTGCCTCCTCCGGAAATCCACACCTTGATTGGATTGTGTTTTCATATGTTTCAACTTTTTTCTTGTAGCATCTGTTGCATGTAGAGTGAGATGGAATCTTGAGTGTGTTTTTTATTTTTGTGTGTGTGTGATAAGTGGTACTTGCTATGTTATTGTGAATTTGTTTTTAATTTGTTGTGTAGGACTGGGCAGAGGACCTGAAGACATGAGGTTGATGCACAGGTCAAAGAGAAGATTCTCACCATCGCTGATGCACACAAAAGTGTAAGTGAAAATCACACTCAGATTTCATCTCACTCCAGTTAGAATGAATACTAGCAACATTTGATGGCAGTGTTGTTTCTGCAGTGTGTGTGTGTGTGTGTGTGGGTATATATATTCACCCCCCCACACAACCCAAGGGTGCAAGGGACATTTTGACATATGTATGTGTAGTATCATGATCAAATCATCATATCTGGCATCTCTGTGACCTTCCATCATTATTATTTCTCTGTGGAGAGAATATTCAGAACCGTATTTTCCAGCTGATTTTGAAAAAATTTTCTAGATTCTGTTGACTCTAGTCACCTAGTCACCCTGCTGTGCAATAGAACACCAGAATAGATTTATTGTGTCTCAGTGTCACTCTGTACCTGTTACCAATATCTAAGTGTGGTTTTGATTTACATTTTGCTGTGGTTAGAGATGTTTGCCAAGTTATCATGAACTTGTTTCAATTTGATGTGTAAGACTGGGCAAAGAACCTGAAGACCTGAGAAGGATGCAGAGGTAAAAGATTCTGAATCAACATTACTGATCCTCACAAGAAGTCAATCAAAACCACACTCATATATCATCTCACTCCAGTGAGAATGAGCGTTACCAAAATGGGACGGCAGTTTTATTGCCGTAGAGTAGGTGTGTATAACCAGCGGGTGCAAGGGACAATTTGATCTGTGTAAAGGTAGCATCATAATGAAGTTTCAGAGTCTGGCACCTCCGTGAGCTCCAGAGTTATGATTTCTCTGTGGAGAGAACATTCACAACTGACCTTTGTAGGTGTTTTGAAAATTTTGGTTTTCTGTTCTTGCCTTTTGTTCATAATGGCCTATGGCTCTGTCCAGGTTTCTGGTAAGAGCATGTATGTGTGTTTTATGACTGTGTAGTGTTCCGTGGTGTGTATGTACCACATTTCCTTTCTCTTATCCACTGCTGATGGGCACCAAGGCTGATTCATGTCTTTACGATTGTGAGTAGTACTGCCGTGAACAAAGGAGTGCATGTGAGTTTTGGATGGAAGGATTTTCCTTTTTATAGATCCTTAGGAGTGGGGTTGCAGCGTTGGGTGGTAGTTCTCTTTTAGGTTCTTTGAGAAATGTCCACACTGCTCCCCAGGGGATCTGAACTAGTTTGCATTTCCCCCAACAGTGGACCTGCATTTCTTTGCTCATCTGCCCCAGCAGCCTCTATTGTTGTGGACTGTGTGTCATAATTGCCATTCTGACCAGTGTAGATGTTATCTCCGTATGTTTCTGATTTGCATTTCTCTGATGATCAGTGAGATCGAACATGTTTTCATGCTCGTTATTTACTGGTACACCTCCTTTTAAGTGTTCATGTTCCTTGCCCTTTTATAACTTGTTGTTGTTGTTGTTTTTTCTGATTTTATTTGTTTAAGGTCTTTATGGTAAATCGTAGCTATTAGACGTTTTTCAGATGTGTAGTTGGGGAATGTTTTCCCTCATTCTATAGGCTGTGTGCTGACTCTGTGGTTGTTTCTTGTTCTGTGCAGCAGCTCTTTTGTGTTTTAGGTCCCACTTACCAGTAATTGTTTTTGTTGCCATTGCTTTTGGGGACTTGACATATAAATGCTTTGCCAAAGCCTCTGTCAAGAAGGGTATTTGCTAGATTCTCATGCAGGATTTTTTAAAAATAGTTTCAGGTATTGGATTTTATGTATTTACATATTTATTTACAGACCAAGTCTCACTCTCTCATACAGGCTGGAATGCAATGGAGTGATCTTGGCTCACTGCACCTTCCAGCTTCTGGGTTCAAGTGATTCTTCTGCCTCATTCTCCTGAGTAGCTGGGAGTACAGGCACGTGCCACCACCCCCAGCTAACTTTTGGTTTTTTCTTAGACATCGGCTTCACCATGTCGGCCAGGGTGGTCTCAAACTCCAGGACCTGAAGTCATCCGCCTGCTTCGACCTCCCAGTGTGCTTGGATTCCAGGAATGAGCCACTGTGTCCAGCCCAGCGTTTTACTTTTCAATCTTTGATTCCTTTTGAGTTGCTTTCTGTACATGGTGAGACATAGGGGCCCAGTGTTATTTCTTCTACATCTAGCTAGGTCACTTATCTCAGCACCACTTGCTGATAGGGAGTCCTTTCTCCATTGCTTATTTTTGTTGATTTTTTTTCAAATATCGATGGTTTCAGGTGTGCAGGTTTATATCTGGGTCTTCTAATGTGTTCCACTGTTCTGTGGAACCGGGTCTCCAGCTTTTCAGTGAAAATGCCAATCCATTACCATGTCTATCAGTGTTTTCTTGGAGTGTTTCCTTTGGTTTAATGTTTTAAAATACCTTTAGCAGCCTACATGTATGGATTTCTTTTCTAAAATAATGCACACCCTATGTTTTCTTGTAGGAGTTTTGTGGTTTCAGAATTGAGTTTTAGGTCTTTAATGTATTTTGCATTGATTTTTGTGTTGCGTGACATAAGGGTCCTATTTCAGTGTTTTCTATGTGAATATTCAGTTTGCTCAAAATCATCTATTGAACAGGCTCTTTTTTTCCAAATGCATCTTTTTGGTGTTCTTTTGAAAAACGTGTTCACTATATGTAAATTGGGGTTGAATATTTGGTTTACTCATTCTGTCCACTTTCTTAGTTTATGCCAATAAAAGATTGTTTGGATAATTATAAAAGTTTGCGTTTTTCATTCATGGTTTTAACTTCTAAGTTTGTATTTTGTGACATAATTTCTATGTTTATTATAGACTAAAGGGTACAAATGCAGATTAGTTACTGCCTTTGGTATATTCCATGACACTGAGACTTGGGGTCCAAGCAACCTTATCATGCAGGCAGTGGGTGTACCCACCAGGTAGGTCTTCGGCACATACCTCATGCCTTCATCCTTTTTCATCGGACAGTCACCAGTGTCTGTTATTTTCACTTTTACGGTAGGGTGTATTCAATGTTAGCTCCACCTTATAAGTGAGAACATGTGGTATTTGGTGTTCTGTTTTTTCCTTATTTCTCTTTAGATAATGGCCTCCAGCTCCTTTCATGTTGCTGCCAAGGACATGATTTCCTTCTCTCTCTTTTTTTTTTTTAATTGGCTGCCTAGTTTTTTTGTGGTATATATGTACCACATTTTCCTTTTCTGATCCACTGTTGACGGGTACCTAGGCTGATTTCACGTGTTTGCCATTGTAAATACTGCTGCCATGACCATTTGTGTGCATGTGTGTTTTGGAGAGAAGGATTTCTTTTCCTCTGTATATACCCCAGTGGTGGGATTGCTGGGTCAGATAGTAGTTCTAGTTCAAGTTCTTTGAGCAATCTCTCCAAAGTGCTTTCCATGGTGTCTGAACTACTTTGCATTTTCACCAAAAGTGGACCAGTGTCCTGTTTCTCTGCTGCCTCGTCAGTGTCTTTTTTTTTTAACTATGTTATCCCCATTCTGACCAGCGTGAGATATATCTCATTGTTCTTTTGATTTATATTTCTCTGATAATTAGGTTGAGCATATTTTCAATTTGTTGGTTGCTCATCATCATCTTTTGAGAAGTCTGTGTTTATATCCATTGCCTATTAATTATGAGGGTGGTTTTGCTAATTTATTTGTGTAAGGTCTTTAAGGTAGATTCTGGATATTAGAACTTGGTCTGGTGCATAGTTTGGGAACATTTTCTCTCATCTTGTATGTCGTCTGTCTACTCTGTGGGTAATTTCTTGTGTTGTGTGGTGGCTCTTTAGTGTATTAGGTCCCACATGTCGATTATTGCTGTTGTTGCACTGTCATGTGGGGTGTTAGGCATATAAATGCTTTGTCAAAGCTGATGTCAAGAAGGGTATTTCCTAGGGTCTCTTGTAGGATTTTTGTACTTTGAGGTCTTCCACTTACATCTTTCATTCATCTGAGTGAACTTTGATACATGGTGAGAAGTAGATGCCTAGTGTTACTTACTCTTCTGCATATGGTTCACCATTTATCCCAAGACTATTGAAAAGGGAGTTCTTTCCCCATTACTCATCATTGTGTATTTCATGCAGCATCAGGTGGTATGAAGTGTGTGGGATTACAGGTTCTCTGTTCTCTTCCACTCATCCATGTGGAAGCAGGTCTCCAGAGTTTGAGTGCAATTTCACATCAGGGAGTGTCATGCATCCAATGTAGTTTGGATTTCTCAGAATTTCTTCGGAAATGCAGGGCATTTCCTGGTCTCACATGAACTTCAGCATTGTTTATTTCTATGTCCTTAAAACCAATTAGCTCTCTAGTAAAGTTATACAATTAAAGAGTAGAGTGGGACATTTTAATCCATGCATATGTACCTTGTGTAATGATGAAAGCGAGGGATTGACTGACTATCTCTGTTACCTTGTGTAGTTATTATTTATTAGTTCTCTGTGGTTGCAATATTCAGAATCCCTTTTTTCAGCCTTTTTTGGAAAATATGGTAGGATACAGTTAACTCTAGACATCCTGCTGTGGAGTAGAACAGCTGAATTTATTCCTGTCATCTGAGTGTAACATGGCATCCATTTCCCAGTTCCTGTGCTGCCTCCCCAACCCCCAGGCTCTCTTCACTACTGTGGAATGTTCTACTAGGAGATAAAGTCATTTAGAGACAAAGTTGATCTCATTCTCATAGGCATGGAATCATGCCGTGTTTATTTCTCTCTTCCTGGCTCATTTCATGGAAGATCATGTCCTCCAGGTTTCTGTACGTTGTTGCAGATGACATGGTTTCATGAATTTCTATGGCCGAGGAGGATTCCATTGTGTACCGCAGTTTCTTTATCCCTTTATCTGTGCATGAACAGGTAGGTTGATTGGATACCTTGGCTATTGTGCATAGTGCTACAATTGCCATAAGAAGGCCGATATCTCTTCAACATAACAGATTTCATGCGCTTTCTGTGTGTAACCAGTGGTGGTATTCCTAGGTGAACGGGTAGTTGTAAAATGTTTAAGGCACCTTCAACTGTTTTCCTTCGTGTGTATAGTAATGTACATTCCCACCAATAGTGTATAAAATCTCTTTT